AATTTTTGCTCATCTTCGTGCATAAGGTGTTGTTATTGAAAATTCATATAAATTTCCATGCAATAATTAAATAAAATAGAAGTAATTAGAAATACTTGGATGAAACTGAACCCAATGAATCGTTGTCTCCTTGAGACGAATTTGTCTACAACACAAGTAGCAATCCCTTCTCAGGACAGAACGGTTTCTGCGTTTCCGAAGGACACCGACGAGCTCAAAGATGCATCACTGTAGGAGGATTTTTCGGATACCAAACTCGCAGGTAGGGATGGACCGGTTCCGGTTCGGGCCCGGCCGGGCCTCGGTTCAGGAAGGGGAGGCCCGGAACCGGCCCGGGTAACCCCCGGGTTCGGGCCGGGCCTCGGTTCTTTTTTTTTTGTTTTTGGCTTTTCCTAGTTAACCCTCAACCCTCCCCCTCACCCCCAAACCAACCCTAAACACCTCAAATGGCCCAAAATACCCAGCACAACCCAAAATCTTAAAAAAATTCAAAAAAAAAAAAAAATTGGCCCAGCCCGGCCCCGAACCGGCTGGGCCGCTTCACCTTTTGAAGGGCCCGAGCCCGAACCGACATCCCACCGGACCGGGTGGCCCGAACCGGCCAACCAACCGGTTCACCGGGCTGGTCCGAGCCCGCACAGTAGCGGTCCGGTCCGGTTCCGGGCCGGTTGGCCCGGCCCGAGTCCACCCCTACTCGCAGGCATGAAGACATATTTATAGAGTTCTCTGGCCAGGAGACTATACCAAAAGACACCTGATAAAAGAAAGGTTGTGACCTTTCTTTCAAAAGGAATATACTTGTCTATTAAGCCAAGAGTTTATTCGAAAAATGGAGGAGCAAAAAATAGAAATCTATCTCTAAGTCGTGTGGACGGGGCGGATCAAGAACCAAACCCGAAACCCGACCCGGCCGACTAGACGGCGGTGGCGGTGTTTGGGTGTGAGATATAATTTCACGATTATCTTTCGGGAAACAATTTCTCATTCATTTCAAAATGGTTTCTTACAAATAATATTAATGACCATAATATTAATTTGTAGATCCATTTTTCCAACAGGTGTCTCGTTTTGTATACAGAGTAGTAATACTTAATAGATGGGACTAGGGTGGACCTGCTCCATTGTCTCATACGGGAATCCACCAAATCATGGGATTGGATCAGGCATGTTTTTATGGTTCAGGTCAAAGATGGTGTTAGTCCCGATTAGATTTATAATTTCAAAGCTTATAAGCAATTTAAAAGAGGTACAAATTCATTTAAAAGCTCAAAAGCGATAATGACGAGATAGGAAGGCTATAAAAAAATAAAAAATGAAATTTGAAATTCGATCAGGGGATCAGAATTGCCTCGGAACTAGGGCTGTGCAAAACCTGACCCAACCCGAAAACCCGATCGGGTACTTCGGATTTCACCCGACCGGGTAGGGTCAACCGACCCGAACATCTACCCGAAAACCCGTCCGGCGATATGCCAAAATATTAATGGGCCTGGTAGGATTTGGATTTAACGCACCCGACCCGTCCGAAAACTCGAACCCTCAGCCCAGTATACAGCCCATATATATTAATATATATACTCTCCTAATAAACCCTAACCCACTTCCGCCTCCTTCTCTATCTCTCTACTGGTTGTCCGCCTCTCTTGACCACTTCATCTCTTCGGACTCTGGTTGTGAGACGGTGATTCTGTGAGGGCCTCAATCTGTTCCTCAAGCCTCAGTGGCTGAGTCTACTCTCTTCGCACTCTTACTCTCACCCTATGTACGTCACTCCCTCTCACACGCTTCTGAATTTGAAACCCTAAAGTCAGGGTCGAACTGTGGAAGCATTTCCCCTTTAAACTCACTCTCAGTCTCACATCCTCTCATCTCAGTCACACTCGAGCGTGAGGTATAACTTCAATTCTCTACTTGATGAAGAGTGTGTAAATTGTGGTTGTGGCTTGTGAGTTGTTGTAAATTGTGAAGGATCGATCCCACAGCCGGGAGGCGGACTACCGATATTGTCCGCTTTGGGTTGCCCCTCACGGATTTAAAACGCGTCAATAGTGGTGGAGAGCCTAGGCCTTATAAGGTACCAAGGACTCTCCTAGCCCACCAGTGTGGGATTCTTTGGCATTCCTACCGAAGAAGCGAGTTTAAGAGTCGCGGGTTTGACCGGCTCGAGGGACTGAAAGGCCCATACCTAACAACCCCCCTCACCGGTGTTGCCCCTGGCTCTGATACCAATTGAAGGATTGATCCCACAGCCGAGAGGCAGACTATCGATATTGTCCGCTTTGGGTTGCCTCTCACGGATTTAAAACGCGTCAATATTGGTGGAGAGCCTAGGCCTTATAAGGTACCAATGACTCTCCTAGCCCACCAGTGTGGGATTCTTTGGCATTCCTACCGAAGAGGCGGGTTTAAGAGTCGCGGGTTTGACCGGATCGAGGGGCTGAAAGGCCCATATCTAACAAATCGTGTGACTTCAAGCAACCTTGAATGTCAAACTGTGGAAGTAAAAATGATGTTTTTGTGCTAGGGTATGTCAGTGTTTGTGTTTCATGAATATTGAGTGACTGAATTGTAGGCATGTCTGTGAGTCTGTCTGAAACTGTATTTATGTATGAACTATGTACATAAAAGAGTGATTGTGGCCCCAAAAAAGAATGCTTGATTGATGATGAAAGAGTGGTTGCCTATTACATGTTGGTTATTGTTGTTTTAGATGTTGCCTATTACATAAAAGAGTGAATTGTGAGTTCTGATAGTGGAAGCTGTGTAAGTTTGTGTGTATAGATGTTGCCTATTACATGTTGGTCATTGTTGTTTTAGAAGTTACCTGATTGACTCAAACACTCAAGCTGAGTAGTAAGAATTAATTGGTTCTTCTAAGTCTGTAGAGAATAGTGAAGCCTGCTGCTTACACTATTCTGTAAATCACCTTGGTGATTGTTCCAGACTTGATTTCTATGCCTGCATTGACCGAAAATGATTTCAAATGGTGAAAACTATGTACAAAACAGACTGATTGTGGCCCCAAATAACAATGAATGAATGATGACGAAAGAATGATTGCTCGTTTTTTGTGAATTGTGAATTCTAATAGTGGAAGCTATGTAAGGTTGTGTGTATAGATGTTGTCTATTACATGTTGGTTATTGTTGTTTTAGAAGTTACCTGATTGACTCAAACACTCTATTTTGTGTAAGGTTGTGTGTATAGTTGTGTAAGGCACTAAATATTTTGGATGCCCTTAATCTATTATGAATTGGAAAAAAAGCTACCTGAACCAAATTTTATCTACTTTATGATTTGTGAAAAGTAATTTATGGCATTTGTTTATTCACACATATTTTGTGACTAACTGACTACTTATCTTTATAATTTATATATGCAGGATTAAAGGCTCAATGTATTGGAATTTGGAAGTTGTTATGGTCTTTATGGCCTTCCTTTATTATTGTATTTTTTTCAAAGTACAAGTTGATTTTGTAGAACTTCTAAATTAAAACTGAACTTGTATCTCATTTTGCTATCTTACATATCATGTTACATTATGTTAAGTTAATACGTTTTTGTAGAACTTCTAACTTGTAAGCTGTAAGTTGTAACTTATTATGTTACATTTTGTTAAGTTATCAAATGTGTAATTTGAAATTGAATGTGTTAAGTGTTAACTGCATACTTGTGTACTTGTGTTTATTTTATATGTCCAATTTTAATGTGTTTTATTATATCCGAATGAACCGAAATCCGATATCCGAAAATATCTGATTTTAAAATATCCGAAAAAATATGCTAAAAAATCACAGGGTCAGGCCAAGTATTTCAATTAAATAACCCGAACGGGTTAAGGGTCAGCAGACCCGACCCAACCCGCCCGAACCCGACCCGTGCTCAGGCCTACCCGAAACTAGTATACTCGACGCCGGTCTCGCTTCAAGGTCTTTTTTATCCATCTTCTGCAACTCATTTTGTGACACATTTTTGGACTTTTTATCCGGATTTTTGGGTGGGAAAAAGTTCCAATTTTCTTCTTATTGTGTGTGTGTATATAGTAAGATAAAATAATGTAAAATGATACTACCTCAGTCCCATTTTGGTTGTATTATTTTCCTTTTTGGATTGTTCCAAAATGAATGTCTTGTTTTTTTGGCAAAAAATATGTGGTTCTTATCATTTTACTTTATTCTACTCAAATATCAATCACAACTTTTAATTTTCAACCACTTTATTAATAATTGTGCTAAATTGAAACATGACAATGGATATGGGATAGATGTAGTACTTCTTCTTTAAATATTGTTCTTTTTATGTTCTTTTTAATGTCTAGTTTCTACACATTAGAGAGCTACTTTTCAATTCCTAAATGTGTAGATTATACAAATGGTGACTATACCGTCATTCAAATATTCAATATTTGATAAAAATGAGCATATATGGGGGGTGGCCTTAGTTTGGTAAAAAAAATTCTTCTTGTGTAAATTTTCTTTGTAAAATTTATATAAATGAATTATGTTTATATTCATCGTATTCTACTTATTGGTTGTCCTTGCTGTTTAATATAGTGACCTTGATGATAATTTTGCAGTGACCATGCAGTCTAAAAAAAGAAATGCTCGGAAGAGATGTGAATATTCTAAACCCTTTAAAGCACCCCTTCAATTTTGTAATATTTTCTGGTCTCATAGGTTTCACTTTTCCTTCTTTTTGTTTTAAATAGTTTCATGCAAAATGTATGAAAGACGATAGATTTCTGTTTTCTTTTCAATTCAAGTATGGCATAATGATACTTCATTATATCACACTTTGCTTTTTAAGTTTTTTTTCTTGGTTTTTATTAAACTTCAAAGCTCCTGCTTTTCTTCAGAAAAGCTATTAGTGCCTAGCAGGGTATACAGTATTACAGTTAATGTATTTCTTGTTTTGGAGCTGGTCGCAATGACTGATCACTATAGTAGACATGGTAGGGTTGGAGAAGGGATAAAAGAAATCTCCTATTGTCAACTTGGAAGTTGTTTGAATCCCGAAACAAAAAGTTCTCATGCGTCATTGCTACTTCAACTCACCCGCAACTAGCGGTTTACCTAGCCGTTAAATTCTGGCTTGTGGGATCATTCGGTCCTTTGAATATTAGAGCAAGCACAATAGAATTAAAAAACACAGAATTGCATTTGTAACAGTACTTGCGCTCATCTCTCTTCCTCTCTAACATAGTACACATGTGAACAAATAGGAGAAAAAACTACACTAACTTGAAACCAGTGGGGATGGGGGAGAACTCCCAAATGATTTATGAAGTGATGTTTTCTCTGCAATCAATTTCAGGAGGGACATAATTATCCCCTTCCCAACCACCACCCCGAACAACTGCTTCCATAGACAAATCAAGCAAATCGACATTCCCACTAGAGTAATTCCTGTCAGCAAATGGTGTCCTGCTAGCTTCAAGCACAGATATCGTTGATTTCAAGTTGGCTTTCTCACGCCCATTTCTACACACTTCATTCTTTGGAGTGCCTTGGTCTCCACCAGCATGATCATTATTAACTATATCCAATAAAACAGAATCCACATGTTCTATTGATTTCAAGTTGGCTTTCTCACTCCCATTTCTACACACTTCATTCTTTGGAGTGCCTTGGTCTCCACCAGCATGATTATTATTAACTGTATCCAATAAAATAGATTGCACATGTTCTGTTGATTTCAACTTGGCTTTCTCACTCCCATTTCGACACACTTCACTCTTTAGAGTGCCTTGGTCTCCACCAGCATGATTATAATTAACTGTATCCAATAAAACAGAATCCACATGTTCTGTTGCTTCATTCGACTTATTGTCATAATTATGAGCTTCTGGAGCAAAGCTAGGAAAGCATTGCTTATCTGTTGGATCGTCGGCGGCATTCAACAATATGACCTTGGATTTCACATCTGACATCCCACTTGGACTGCAGAGAGTAGTTGCGGCCCCAATTTTGGGCATTGCTGTGCTCTGTTTGGTAGTTCCATTTGGTGTGCGCACCGACTTCCCCTGCAAACATTTTTAATCAAAATGCAGGACTAACAAATCATGATTTCAATTGACCCTAAACTTGCAATGACCAATAGTTTTTAATTACTCCCTTCGATTCTAATCAACCCTTTTGTCAACTAAAGACATTTTGCTCATAAATACTTCCTCCCTTCTTTTACTATTGACATACCTCTTATTTTGTCCATTTTTGCTATTATATAAAAGTAGATCAAATATGTAAGAAGTTATTACATGTCTCTGAATGTATTTTTGAAAATACTTTTTCTTATATGATTTTTACTATTAATTATATTGATGGCCAAATTTTTTACATTGGCAAATATGAAAGTCAAACATATAAAACTGATACCTTTTTTCTTGCTAGTTATTTTTAATCCCTGTGCATTACATAGGGTATGTTTTCATTTTTTTAATAGATTTATTATTATTACCTAAAAATCAAAACTTTTCTTTAACGGAATACTTGTATTATTTAAGAACAGAGGGAGCAAGGGGGAAATGAAAAAAAGAAAGATAAAAAGCACACTAACCCCATCAAAGAATCCAATTTTTGGGGATGGCTTCCGTAGGCCCGATGGTCTGGTTAGTGGATTTGTCGAAGAAGCTTTCCTGTCATTTTCTCTAGGTGAAGTTGTTCCTTGGTTTGGTACTTCCGAGTTCTGACTACTATACCAATTAGCGTTGTCCAAACTAGTCACAACACTCTCCAATGATCTACATGAACTGGTATCAAAACTAACCCTTGACTTATTTGACCAGCCATTGATGTTAGAGCAGGATGATGATGCTGCAGACACGGATGACCATTCACTTATAGAACTGGCAGGAGATATGTTTGAATTATTGATCTTAGAAGAAATAAGATAATTCGAAATTGTGGAATTTCCACTTGACACTTTATGATTCTTCAATGGTGTTTTTGAAGGAGTTTTATGTGTTGATCCAGTGGAAGGTTGACTAACGGGTTGTTTAGTAACAATCTTTCTTCTTGCCACAGGTAAAACAGGTTTTCCTCCCTTGTCAGACAAAGTACTTCCAGTAGTACTATCAGTTGAAGTTCTTGAGGATTGCATCTTTGTTGCACCTGAAATTCTCATAGATGATGACTTGGAAAGCAATGTAGGTCTTGGTAACACCTTGCAGGCATTAGTAGAGTCAAATACTCTTGATGTCTGCACTCCTTTACCAGTAACTGAAAATTTCCATTAATTGATGGATTAGTGGTAATAAAATTAAAATGGCAGGCATTTTTCTTCAGAATGCACAGACATGATATAGCAGTTCAAGAAATGGTAAATTGAATTTGAAATCTGTTCTCTTACCAGTATTGGTTTTTGTTTTGTCATTATCAATTTTATTTTGATTAGCACTCAGAGAAGCTCTTTTCACCATAGTTGCTGGAATGGGATTGGCTTTACCCATAAATTTTGGTAGCTTAGCAAGCGATGAAGTCGAGTCCCCAGATTTAGTGATGGACTACATTAAGCAACATATAGAACAACATCAGCTAAGTGCAAATCAAGAGTGGCAATTTGATTTGGTTTAAAAATCAACCCAGTCAAAACGAGGCATAGAAACAATAGCAACTCAGTCATATTGCTAATAAAAGAAAATGTATTAAAGAAAAAAGGGAAAAACCGGATGTGACTATGTGATTGATACCGATTCCAGTTTTGAAATAAACAAATAGAAAAATTCACATGCCTTTGTAGCACGTGTAATGTCTGGTTTTACACCTTTCCTGTAGCCTTGTATTCCCTCGGTGGGTTTCTGCTGACCTTTTGGCATTCCTAGCGCTTGTGCCCCATTGGTTCTACTTGGAGGAAGTTTAGGCTTTGGCTGACAAATTTAAAACAGTACTGTCATCGACGAACTACTTACTGGAAAGAAAAAATTACTTTAAAAGATTACATGTGAATCCAGATGTGCACTTGGTTGAGTTGGGCTTACCATATTTCTTAAAGTGGTGCCTGTCTTCTTTGAAGCTGTGAAAAGGAAGGTACATAAACACAAAGGTTCAGCGTCTATTACGTTAAATCTTCAATCCGTTAATAACAAATGAACAAGTCAGTGACAGGAAAAACTAAACAAGTAAAGCTAGACTTGCCAGAATCTGCATCAGAAGATGTTTCTTTCCTGACTTGGATCGTGGCATCAGAGACTTTATTGTTGGATCTCTGTATTGATGCTCTAATGTCAACAAACAACTCAGCCTCAAGGTGTTCTAGCGGCACATTATCGCTTTCAAACGTCGTTATTGTATCTGTGGATCTACTAACATCCTCATCAATCATAGGCAGTAAGTTTTTTTCAGCTCCCTTGACTATGGTAGATAACTCATCTGCATCCAGAACGCCTGGGAAAAGAAGCAGGTCAGAATAAACAGCGGGCTTGAATTTGAAAGTAATGACTAAAGCATAAGATAGAATATGAAGTGTTATGTAGTGCACTGTCGTCGTCGTCATCATCATTACCCCACTGCCGCAAAGGCTCCAACCTACGGTGAGGTAAGGGGGATCGGATGTCCGCAGTCTTACCCCTGTACTAAAGCACAAAGAGACTGTTCTGGATGGCCCATAGTGAAAATCACGTCGAAAGTTACATGGACTGACAGCTGCTTCACAACAAAGAAGCGCAGACAGTTTAGTGAACCATTTTGCTTTATTCCATCATATTCTCAAGCCAAAAAACAGTGAGTCTTCGGCTCCATTGCAATTGATGGATATAGTTATGTAGTGCACTGTGTGAAATTTTTTTGATATTATGGGGGCACACAAAACAGGGTAAATACCTGCATCTGTAAAGAAAGCAGTATCCCATGCTAAGCTCTGGCGTAAGTTAAACTTTCCTTTCCTTTTGATTCTTTCTGGTTCCATTGATACATGTACTTCAGTCAATATGTCAAGCAGGTTACCTTTATCATCCATATCCCTTTGTTCTTGAACATCCATTTTACCTGAAAACTCCAACTTTAAACCTTTGTGATTATCTGAAATTACACAAGTTTATCTCCTGTGTCGTGCATGAGAGAATAGGTGTCCACTTCTAACTAAACTACTAAAGCAAAAATGAACAGACTAAACAGTTTATCAGAGTCAACCTAAAGTCCACAGAATCCTGGTGAAGAAAATAGGGAGTAGTAGAGTCCATACAAAAGCTTGTTCAGGCTTGCATCGTCTCACTGATTTAGAAGTTTAAAAACATGTATGGGGGTATACAAAGTTAATAAACCCAGATAGGGAATTCCACGTCAACAGAGCTACACGCCTACACAGTAGAGATCACATACATATGGAATACTAATCTTGTTATGAGCCAACATCAGGTTTATCACACGTTCCAGATCCTTTAAAAGGAAGCTGATTTTTTGTAAGCTCAAACAAATTTCCATTACTCTATAACTCCCTATACTTTACTATTTCAAAAAAGTAGGGTTAGTCTGCTGGTAGAACTGAACATTCTCATCAATAACAGAGATCGAAAAAATATTATATCATATGGATAGTAAAAACAAGACAAGAAACATGGAGTTCTGGAGTACCAGTCGGCTTGAGCGGGGAAGGGGACAATGTGAAGACGAAATCGTCATTCTCCGATGCGTCGTCGATAAGACTGAGGCCCTTGACTTCGAGATCGATGTGCTCGGGATCCGCCATTGATGTAATCCAAAAGATTCGCTTGCAGATTCCCTTACTACTTCAATTTCGATGGTTATTTGCAGTGGGCGTTTGAAATTGAAGAAATGGGTAAACGCTGTACAGCAGTGCGAAGAGAAAGAAAGGTGAGAGATACTATCAGAGCAATAACGGGAAAAAATTTGAATGTACAGATGGGGCGTTTTTTAGGATTGGAGATGGTGAAACGAATAGAAAATATAAATTTCCTTTAAAAAGCGAATTCCTGTTGAATATTAGAGCACGTCCCAGGAAACGTAGGCCACCAGAGGCCGCCCCACGTTACGAGGCAAAAAATTGAAATAATTAGATACTCCCTCTCTCAAAAAATAGTTCTCCATTCTTTGTGTGCACAGACAATTTGACATCAAGTACTGTCCCATTTTAAATGAATTGTCTGTGTACACAGGCAGTTAGGGAGGTTTTGTGTACAACTCATGTACACTACGCATTTTCCTCTCTCATTCACTGTTTTATTTAGGAAAGTGAGAATATAGTAGAAATGTATCATTGTGATTGTCTAAGAAAAAGATAAATGAATATGAGTTGCACAAAACTTTCCAAAAGGGAAAAATAGAACTATTTTTTGGAACGGCTCAAAAAGGAAACCAGAAACTATTTTTCGGGACGGAGGGAGTACATTATTTATTTATGATTAAAATAAATATTGTTGATAAAGTAAGAGTTCATTTAGTGATCTTGATCTTCAACTTATCAGATTTATCACTCAATTTTTACCAGACAAATAATTTTTTATTTTGCGCGTTGAATTATGTAATAATAAGAAAAAGTAAGATTAAAATTACTTCTCTGAAGTTACTGTAGATGATCATTTTAGCTATTTTCATATACATTTTTCATAAATCAGCAGAATCAGTCAATTCAACCACTTCAGCTAGAACTTGATAAATTTCAACAGAATTTGCCAATATAGCCAATTTGGGTATTACCAAACGAGCTTTAAGTGTGATGAGAACAATAGGAAGTAGTAACTAGTCGTATCACTCGTGTGTTGTACATGATTTTATTTGCTTGTATGTATGGTAGGAATTAGTGATGATGACCAGCTCATCGCGGTGCGGTCTAGGGGTGTTGGACCGATCTAAGGGGGACGAAGGTGATGGGCTCGATCTTATTCTTCTTGGGGGGTGGAGCGGACACAGGAGCCACATATAGGGACCACTCGAATTTCTTCCTGTTGCTGAGGGTATCACCAGTTTCCGTCCCACTGAAGATCACTTTGATCTCCATTTTTTCCTTGGCCTGCCCCCCCCCCCCCCCCCCCCAGAGAACCCTTGGGACGCTTATCCACCTTGCGGTAATTCACACCTCAGGGTTCGGCCTGCTGTTTGTTATCCCTGCGCCAGGTGCCCGACTTCCTGTTCGGGCGTGCTTGGTATTGCAGCGCGGGCTCCCTGATATGCTCACCGAGGTGCCTACTCGGTGTTGTGTCCCTTACGCCGGTGATATTGAAAGTAGACGTCCTTGTGACCCATCTTCATGTCGGTGCTCGTAGGGGGTGCAATGATTCTCAGGTCCTTTATATCCTCATATATCTGGGTGACGGGGAGCGCGAATGGAGTGAAGAAAGGGTACCCGTCGTGCGCCTTTAGCAGAAATACGCCGAGCATATTCTTCCGCTTGGATGCAGACCTATTTGGGCACACTAAAATTGGTTGAATCTGCTGAATTGTGAATAATTATATTTTTCAATGTACTTTATTATTAAAATAAAGAAAAAACATATGAAAAACAACTAACATGCTCATAAGAATAAACTTCACTCACTTCAAATAGAGAAATAACTTAAACCTTACTTATTTTTATTATTACGCATGCCCGTTTGGCAACATCGAAATTGGATAAATCTGCTAAATCATTTGAAAATTATGAATTTCTGGCTGAAGTATCTGATTTGGTTGAATTTGTTGTTTCATTATTTTTTTAATAAAATTAAGAAAAGATTACACGAAAGATATCTAAAATTATCTTCGAACAAAATACCAAACGCAAGTCGCAAATCAATAGGACAAACAACAATACTATCAAGTTGGATTGACGTCACAACCCCATGGTCACAAGAAGTCACTCTAAAAAATCCCCAAAAGAAAACAGTTTACTTCTTGTACTCTGTAGACCTGATGTTTGATTCACTACACAAATTTGTGCCGCTCTCAAGCAATACAAGCAATACAAATTGAGGCCAACACCTACCATTCCTATCTCCATGAAGAATGTGATCAAATTCCATAATAAATTCAACAAGAATATCTCAATTACACTCGGAGTTCCTACAAAAAATTTAAATGCTAATGTTTCTTTATTCCCTTTGTATGTTTCTTCTCTTGTATATTTAAACTATTTATCAATAAAATCGGAAAGCGTTCCCCGACACCCCCCACTTCGAGTGATTTGCTCTAGGAAAAAAAGTCTTTTACAGTAATTTCACCCGTTTTAGCCAGAAAAATAAATTCAACCTTATTTATTTTAATTATTACATGATTTATCGCGCGAAGTCAAAAACCGTTTAATACGAAAGTTGGCTGATAAGGTTAATAAGCTGAAAATATATGTTACCAAAAAGACATTTAATCTAACATAAGAAATCAAATGTTATGTATTTGATGAAAGAAATGATTGATAAGGCTAATAGGGTGAACTAAGGATTATCAAATACTCCATAGGTTTTTATTGTGATGGTTGAACTAAGGTTTAATTTGTCCAATGATGTGATACAAATAATAGTGAAATTATTTGTGAGTATAAAAGTGTTCATAAATAAATGAGAGTAGAGTTTTTTTATTGTATGAATGGTTTAAAATTTTGAAAAATTGTAAACAAGACTACGCGTCATTTTAAGAAAAAACTAATTTAATATACGAGAGCCCGTTTGATGATCTTGTTTTTCAGTTTATCGATCTTATCAGTTAATTTTTCATCAAACATGTATCTTTTTATTTTGCATGCTGAATTGTGTAGTAATCAAAATAAGCAGGTTTGAAGTCACTTTTCTAACTAATTTGACTAAAGTTACCATATAGGACCATATAACTATTTTACATATAATTTTACTCTCCCCGTTCTGCTAATATTGTCTCATTTTAACTTTTTGAGAAATACCACTAAAATTGTCGTATACCAAATTTGGTACAGTTTGTGTGACTCTAAATCATTTTTACTCTATTCTTACTTTATCAATTAATATCAACCACACAAACTCACTTTTCTTAATGACAACAACACCCCCCTTCCGTCCCAATATTAGTGGAACAGAGGTAGCAATAAATAGAATATATTTTACATATAATTTATTTATAAAGCAGCAGAACCAACCGATTCACCCACTTCCAGCAGAACTTCATAAATTTCAGAAGAATCAATCGATTTAGGCAATTTTAGTGTTATTAAACGGGCTTTGAGTGTGGTATTGGGCATGTGGTTGAGTTATTTTTTATTTTACGTAGTCACGTAATAATGATAACTACTTAGCAATCGTAGTTGCATTATTTGTTCTTGAATTGGGTGAATGGGTTCGAATGAAAATTTATAATCTGATTTGCTCTGTTTAAGTACGGTGAGATATGATATATTTAAGTTTGTTTGATCTGCTCTTATAGCACGATATATATGTATTCAAGATGAGTATCAAGTGTTACCGAGATAATAGTCGAAAGACGAATGTTCTTAATTGGATTTTATTTTTTTGGTATGACCTAATTTTATTCAATCTAAACTTATGATAGAGTCGATAGTCGCCTCATATACGTGTATTTAGTATTTTAGAAGTGTCGAAATCTGGTCTAATGTGACATAATTATGGTCAAATGCATAAATGGTACCTTAACTATTGAAAATCAAAATTGTACCTTTAGCTATATATAAATGGTTCGAATTGAAATTTTATTCAAATTTCTATGCATAAAGACCACCTCACCTTGTTTTATCATTATAGGGTGACCGTACACGTTAATTTTTGATGATTTTTTAATCAAAAATTTGAATAAATTCTGAATTCGAGATATTATGTATAATAAAATCTCATTACGTACTTTGGTTGGAAATTATCATCATCATAAAAAAATGTTGGCACTAACGATGTCAATCTCCCGCCAGAAAAAGTGAACGGGCAATTACTCAGAACGACTTCATTTCATCTGTTGGCCACACGCAGCCGGAAAGTCGTCATGCACGGCGAGGTTTCAAGGACCAGGAATCGTTATGTTGTTTCGCACTCAAGCGGTCTCTCAAAGTTCTTAGACTTATATTTTCCCAAAATCGACTTTACTCTGGAAGAGTCCAAGTTCAAATTCGAACTCGCGTCCGAACTTGCTGACTTCTTCTCTACAGAAGGAGAATGCTTTGTTTCTCAGGTTTCTTTAACATCTCATTTATCTTCATCTCTCGCGCTCTGCATATTTATGTTTTTTTTTTTAATTTTGTTTTGAGCATCGGATGACTCCTATTTCAAGGTCAAAGACAATAGCTGTCCTTTTTTAAAATTTTAATTCCCAGGCCATTAAAGTTGTTGTGCATTTCAGATGCTTGATTGGCCACTGGCCAGTTCTGATTAAAGGAAATCCGCAAGCTTCATTTATAGATGAGTATTGTGTTTTTGTGACTTACTTTGATCAATTGTACCCGTGCACTCACTGAATGAGGATTCTGAGGACGGAAGAAATCCGTGTTCTCATGCTGATAATAGAAGGAAATGCTATTTCAGTGTAGTGGTTGAGCTAGCTTGGTGTTGATCTTTGAGATTGTAGTAGACAAAAACTGTACTGGGACACATTGAGATTGCTAATAATGACACGCACTGGAGATCTTCCCTGATTGTTTCTTGTTTAAAATATTTTGTGCAGTGAAATCGTATCTACTGCTAAAAACTGCCCGTTTCAATCACATGTGTAGGTTAAAGATGATGATGGTATATTCTTCTTGCCACTTGACTTTGAGCAGTTTCAGAAAGTATGTGAAATTGAGAAATTCTATTTGACTTTGGCTGATAGACCGAAAGAAGCTCTGTTATGTATGAGTGCTGCATTGCACATGGTATAATGCTAACAAGACTTCATCAGTCTTTCAAAGTTTTCCATCTATTTTTGCCTGATTAGTTTAGTTTTTCAAAGCAGGTTATGTTCATGGAATTGGAGAATGAAATGTTTGGTGATTGTACAAAGATAAATATTCGTCTGCATAATTACCCTCAAGTGATTGCACTAAAAAATCTAAAAGCCGCATATATTGGTAACTTTGCAATTTTTTATTAAACGCGTTGGTTCTTAAGCAAGTTATGTTCCATGTAAAATCCAAACTAATGTTGCACTAATAATGACATTTTATGTTCATGTATCAGACAGGCTTGCTTCTGTACGTGGCACTGTGGTAAAAGTTAGTACAGTTAGACCTCTGGTAATAAAAATGAGTTTTGCCTGCACAAAATGTGGAACCAACATTGGTCGTGACTTTCCAGAGGGGAAATTTTCACCCCCTTCAGTATGTGAAATGCATGGATGCAAAAGTAAGACCTTTAATCCGATCAGATCCAGTGCACAACCCATAGACTTTCAGAAGATTAGGTAAGTTCTTTTCTGTAGTTTTGTGCCACCATATCATCATAAAGCTATAAAGCAGCACATGTTTTCATCACTGCATTAAGTAGTTGGTATAAACTGTATTCTCTTTTCCAGAATTCAGGAGCTGCTAAGATCTGAACATCATGAGGAAGGGCGTGTTCCACGCACTGTTGAATGTGAGTTAACGGAAGATCTTGTAGATGCCTGTATTCCTGGAGATATTGTGACTGTAACTGGTATTGTTAGAGTGATTAACAACTACATGGACATCGGAGGAGGTATTTCCATTAACATGCTTATCTTACTTCAATTGAAATGCTGTGTTGTATTTCATATGTCGTAGATGTAGATCTAGTTAAACTGAGCCTTTGTTGGCCAGTAGATGACGTTGATCATTTATTGCTCTCAAACTTACTGCTGGAAGTCTTGATCTCTTATATCCAGACATTGATAATTTATTATGATATAAGTGTTAAAAACAATGATGGTGGTTCTTTTTTCCAATGTTCTATAAGTTTCACTCTAAATACTTCCCTATGCTATAAGTGTTACAAACAATGATGGTTCTTTTTTCCGATGTTCTCTAAGTTTCACTATAAATTCTTCCAGATGGACTAATCATATAAGCTACTGCTACAGGAAAATCAAAAAGTAAGAATCAAGCACTTTACTATCTGTATCTCGAAACAGTCTCAATAAGAAATTCCAAGACTCAACCAGTGCATGAGAATATGATGGACGGTTCCAATGCAAGAGCCACAGAGCCTTTTGACTTAGTATCATTTTCTCCAAGGGATCTAGAGTTCATTGTTAAATTTTCTGAAGAACACGGTCCAGACACTTTTCGGCAAATGCTTCATTCAATATGTCCTTCAATCTATGGACATGAGCTTGTCAAGGGTTTGTATACTAGTTATCGTTATTTTGTTCAATACTATTATATAGTGGTGCAATTCATCTCTTTTGTAGGTTTCGAATTCCTAGTTGACTACTGGTAAATGGTAATGGATCTTTTTATTTTCTTATTAAACCTGATATCCTATCAATATAAAGCACTTACCTGATACTTCTCTTTTGATGCCTGACTGATAATATTGCTTTCACTTACACTGTCATTTATTTTCATCATCATTCTTCCATCAACAGCCGGAATTACTCTAGCTATGTTTGGAGGTGTACAAAAGCATTCAATGGATCAGAACAAGGTTCCTGTAAGGGGGGACATCCATGTATTAATAGTTGGTAAACATATTTGTTCTTGTCTCCTGAGGATGTCATTCTTTCCCACACTATGCCATAACTGAGGGCATACATAACTCTGTTTGATACCATATTATTAGGTGATCCTGGACTAGGTAAAAGCCAACTGCTACAAGCAGCAGCTTCTGTTTCTCCTCGTGGCATATATGTGTGTGGTAATACTACAACCAATGCTGGCCTCACTGTAGCCGTGGTCAAGGATCCAATAACTAGTGATTATGCCTTTGAAGCTGGTAAACCCTCTCTATGTGCGTGCTTTGTGTGAACTGTGAGGAACACTGAATGCCAAAGTATTGCAGTTTCAGCCGATATCAGGATGAGTATTCATACGTGGAGAGTGACTTCGAGTTTTCATTGCCAATTCAGTATTGACTTAAATTAAGCACAAGCATTTGTAAATTGCAACTCTAGGCATTTTTCATTTTAAAGTTTCCTGTCAGTCATGTACTCGTGTAACTCCACAGCTCCACCTAAGAATAGTCTTTCTTATGCCCCATTATGTTTCTTGTCTTTATTTGAGGTGATCAAATTCAGGCATTATTCCAGATCTATCTAGACTGGATAATGATTAAGACTATAAAACTTGGAGAGTGCCCTTCCTAAACAGAGAGGTCATGTAAAGTGGGCGCTACAGAGTAGAAATATGCGGATCTGGACAGAATTGCTTAAAATTCATCACCAACTATATAGTCAATTCATCTATTAGTTAAATAGTGATTCATAAACATGTTAATTAGAAGGCTCAGGAATCGTCTGGATTGCAGTCCTTGGGAAAAAGTGCATCTGGATTAAACAATGATCCAAGCTATAGTGTTTACAATCGATTTTGTTTTTATTTGTTGGCATCATATACTGTCATCTATTTGTCAACAAAATAGGTTTTCTTTGTCAGGGGCAATGGTTCTTGCAGACCATGGATTATGTTGCATCGACGAGTTCGACAAAATGTCTGCTGGACATCAGGTTCTACTCGGGTTTTTCATCCTCATAGGCTCATGCACACTGTTATTTCCACAAGTAATATTAGTACTTTACTATGGGATAATTTCAGGCCTTATTTGAGGCTATGGAGCAACAGTGTGTATCTGTTGCAAAGGCAGGACTTGTGGCAAGTTTATCAGCAAGAACATCTATTTTAGCAGCTGCAAACCCTGTTGGGGGTCATTATGAGTATTGTTAATTAACTTGTCTTTGATTAGTAGTTATTTGAAAATTTAGATATGCAGTGTTTTTTTGCCAGTAGCTTTATTGACTGCACGAGTGATTGTGGCTATGTTTTTGATACTTTGAAATTATTGTGATGATATCTGTCCCCTACCATAACAGTGGCTTGTGCTAAAGAAATAATATGAAGTGAATAAACAATCAACAGAAACAATTCTAAATGTCTAATTACATTATTCTTTTATAGTTTTATCACATTTTCAACACGCTCTTTTGGCTTTCATTTTAAACATATTTTCCAATACATAATAAGGGGCCCTAAAGTTTTTTTGGGCATTGATATTGCTCAAATTTCGATTGCAGCCGTACAAAAACTGTAAATGAGAACCTGAAAATGAGTAGTGCTTTACTCTCGAGATTTGATTTGGTTTTCATATTACTTGACAAGCCCGATGAGCTACTGGATAAGCGGCTCTCGAAGCACATCATGTCTGTGAGTCATTCTCTCCACTTTGTGCTAGTATATGGTAGAACTATTTTTTGACCATTAACATTATTACTCCGTGTTATTTGTTCATGCATAATTATATGATGAATGAAAGACCCATTTCTGAATGAATATTTACACACTACAATATAAAATATATAGGCTAAAGATCTATGATAGATATGGAAATACAATCTCTAAGAAAGGAAAACAAATTCTAGCCTTAATGGTGCAATTTTAGTTAGAAATATTATATACAGTTTTAATTAGAAATATATCCTATTCTTGTCAACAATAAAATTTTGTAGTGTCAATTTCCTCAATCTTTTCAAGAGTTAGAAGGAATTAACCTTTGAAATAATCAAATAAACATATCCAACCTTGATGCCCAGAAAATGAATATGAATATGGAAGAACATGACATTAAAAAAGAGCATCTTTCTTTCTGAACTATTTATTCAAAATAAACCTCCATATATTACTTTAAGTGTTAGGTTATTGTTGCTTGTAGCCGTAGGTATAGTACTTACTCCGTATCTAACAACATTTTCAACTTTACTGCCAAACCTTTTATGACATGCACCACAAAGCGATGACTTAATAGGCAGTGTGAACATATTATTGGCAATGATGTATTGCTGTTAAAAGCAATTCCCAGGATCTGATGTGGATTGCTAGTAATGTGAATAGTTGATGCACAATTTCAGTGATGTGGATGTAGTAAGGGTTTCTCACTACTAGCTTGCAAGCAGTTGGCGTTTAGTACATTACATTTTGCATTTCTTGTTTATTTTGGGATGTTTGCTTAGAATTTGTTGAGAAGAGTGCTATCATTTGCCAGATGCATTTTTAATTATTATTGTATTTTCTTAAGGTTAATGCAAATCCACTTGCCACTCCCTTATAATCAGAAGCATGTGTGAAATTAAACTTTCTTTTGCAGCTTCATGCAAAAACTCCGGAACATCCACCTGTGACAAAGCAATTATGTACAGGTAAGGCCTTTTATACGATTCCTGTTAGTATGAGATCATTTTAATATGATGATTTCATTATTTTGCATCTATATTACACTGCAGCACCTTTTGATGTCAGGGGAAGTAGCCTGAATGTAGAGCACAATTCTTTAACTTCAAGACTGAAGCTTGACCCAAATAAAGACAGGGGTTTTGTTCCATTACCTGGTCCTCTTCTGCGTAAATACATTGCCTATGCAAAAGCTTATGTCTTTCCAAGGTAGTCTAGCACCTTTTCTTAAATTAGGGAAAATTGGGGACTTCTACTTCATTGATTTGCTTTCTTTATACTGGGTAAGGATGACCGAGCATGCGGCAGCCATCTTGAAGAAGTTTTACCTGCAACTGAGAGATCGTAACACATCTGCTGATAGTACACCAATAACTGCTAGGCAATTAGAAAGTCTGGTAAGGTTGGCTCAAGCTCGAGCTAAGGTTGATCTAAGAGAGCAAATAACGGAGCAAGATGCTTTGGTGAGTTCCACCATCACAGCAGTAGATGCCCCCCTCCATGGCTCCATTCTCCAAATATAGTTAGCTACATATTAATGTTCATATTTCAGAATCGAGTAATTTAATTATGCAGCATTTAAGATTTTGCCATTATCACTTAATCCTGGCTATCCATGCCTATGATACCAGTGCCTTCTGTAATCTGTATCTTAAATTCTTACGGTTCAGGATGTTGTCGAAATAATGAAGGAGTCCTTGTATGATAAGTATGTTGATGAGCATGGTTTTGTGGATTTTGGGCGAAGTGGAGGAATGAGTAAAGAAAAAGAGAAGAAGAGATTTTTGGGTGCATTAAATAAGCAGTCTGAGGTGCAGCAAAAGGATTGCTTTTCAATATCTGTAAGCCTCTGCACACAACTATTAGTTTCCCAAATCAACCTTAGATTAAAAAAAATCAATTGTGCTTCATGGAGTATACCTCACATGCTCTTCATTCCCCTCTTCAGGAGTTATACAGTTTGGCAGATAACATAGGCTTGAGGGTTCCAGATATTGATACGTTCCTGGATACCCTTAATACTGCAGGCTATTTACTAAAGAAGGGCCCAAAGAAATATCAGGTACGCCTTTTACTAATTCAACTACTTTTAAGTATTTAACCCATCACTAAACTTTTGCCATTCAAATTAAACTAATACTAGCTGAACTCTATCCCTGCTAGCCAAGTGGAAAACGTAATAAAAATGATAGTTTGTATATTATGCAGGTGCTATCATCATCTTATTCAAGAAGTCAATCATCAAGGGGATAGTTTTGCAGCAATGGTAATATACATTAAAAATATTCCCCTTGCAATGTTTCTCTCTCTCTCTCTCTCTCTCATCACTCTGCCCCTATTTTATTGAACAATAATCTCTTTTTGACCACCTCCAAGTACTAAAACATAGAAGGATTATAAGCTATACATCTCCCAGTCTGTATTTATGCCCCACTTAACTACTTCCAAAACATTGCAGGTTATTTTGGTTGGCTATGTAATTTCACAGATAAGCTCTCATTTTGTCAAATTCCCAGCCTGCCTAAAAGCCACGTGCCCGTGTAGATTTTATATTTTGTAAGAGCGTTAATATATAATTTAATGTTGACTTTCAGACGGGGAATTCAAGTACTGGTTATATATATTCAATATGATACATTCATATATGTATTATGAAACAATCTCATGGATATATTTTTTCCGTAACACTATCTTCTGACTTCATGTGTTTATGAAGTCAGAATCACTATATTCTTGTTCAGAAGCAGAATCAAGGCGCCATTCACTTCCATAGTAAGAATTAGGCAATCCCAACCAAAACTTGAAAGCTTCTGCTGCTCTTTTCCTATCTTTCCTTCGTTCTTGCCTAGCTCTTGAAGCATGCTTGCTTGTAAACATTCTTGAATGCATCTCCACATAGATCCTTTTATACTTTGTCTTGTTTGGAGATATACCATTCTCCTCCATGCAAGCTATTATCTCCAACGCTTTCCTAAAAAACGCTGCCCTGACACATATATCAGCCAGTGTCACCAAGAGTCCTTCGTCGGGTTTCAGTGGCGGGAGGGCAGCTGAAGAAGTATTAGGTTTTATTGTTCCTGTTTCAACCCCACATCTCTCCTTTATTTCACTCCACAGTAGTAGTGCTTCTCCTGGTTTCCTAGCCAATTGAATCCCATTAGCTAAACTCCCATATGTAGCCAAATTTGGAAAAGTCCCAGTCTCTTTCATCTTCTGAATTATGGTTTTAGCCTCCTCGACCTTCCCCAACTTACAATACCCCTCAACCAACATGTTCCAAGCCACCAAATCAACCTTGATCCCAGGATCCTTTACCATCTCGTCAAACACCTTGTTAGCTAGCTTCGGCTGGCCAGACAAAGCAAAAGCTTTCATCAATGTCGTGTAACTGATTTTATTAGGGGTAATACCTCTTGCTCGCATCTCATTGAAGTACAAAAGCGCCCTGGCACTATCATCAACCAATATGCACCCATCAATCAAAGTGTTATAAGAAACCACATCCGGTTCTATCCCCTCACCATTTACCATCTCCTTCATCAGTTCCTCAGCCTTATCTATCTGCAATTTCTGACAATACCCTTTAATGAGAATGTTGTACGTGATTCTGTTGGCAGGAACTCTGATTCTGAACATCTCATTTAGGACATCTCGTGCTTGATCCATTGATCCTTGTTCCACAAATGCAGATATTACAGTCGTGTAGGTCACATTGTCAGGTTGGCTTTCCATGTCCTCCTGATGTTTCATTGCTTGGAGCATCCTTACTGTATCTGTAACTCGGCCCACCTTCATATAACCTTTCATCAAAGTAGTATACATCCTTGAATTGGGTTCAAACACATGAGGTAACTCTGGTGGCTCTTTGTCTCCTGAGTTTAAACAATTTGGAAGCAGCTCTTTGAATACATCACTCTCATTTAGGATCTGTTCCGTTTGCCTGAAAAATGTGATATGGTTTGAATTTCTTAAGATTTGATCAGAACCTTTCTGGTGTGGTCTTATTATTTTGGTATGATGGGGTGTAGTCAGTAATAATATGAACATTTCTAATCTTATCTAGAATAAATATCTGGTCTGGTTTGACCTGGTCTAAATCTTTTGGTTTGATTGTCATAAGCTCAAACAATAAGTTTAAAGAACAAACCTTAGACCTATCTCTTTCACAGTTGAATCCCTTAGAATCTTGCAGAGATCTCTCCTCCCTTCTCTCATGGCCTGAACAATTTTCTCGGCTGATTCCAAATCACCAAAACCAACATAAGCGGCCACAAGGGATTGAAGTGTCGTCATACACAAAGGTATTCTCTTTTGGATTATTCTCTCCAACACAAACACTAGCAGCTCTTTCCTATCAGCTCTAGCACAGAGCTTCATCATCACATTGTATGTCAAAACATCTGGTTCACAACCAAACTCACTCATCCCTTCAAACAGTTGCAAGAATTTCCTCGTGTCACCAATGTTAGCACATGCATTCAGCACGGCATTGTAAGAAGCAGTGTCGGGTGTGGAGTCCTTAATCACATTGGGGTCCGAGATCCGTTGGACCCTTTTGGTGACCAAGTCAAATAAAGTCAAGGCCTCAGTCGGGCCATCATCACCTGAGCTGGAAAGTCGGCTGATGACGGCGCTCCAGGCCTTGACATGCGGGAGGTATCCGGATTTGAGCATAGACTTGATGATGGAGGTGGCGTACAGGATATGACCGGATTTAGCTGCGGCAACTGCGAGGAGGCCGAGGGAGTTGCAGTCAAGGAGGTGGAGCTGGTTGTCATGGTGGAGACGACGGACGATGGACTGGGCACGCGTGAGGCCGTCGTGGGTCTTCTGGTAGGATAGTTGAGAGACTAAACGGCTAAGGCAAGTGGAGTTGGGAAGTTGGTCGGATCCGGTGTAAGCCAACCAGGCCTCTTCAATTTTCCTCTGCTGGAGAAGGGTGAGAAGAGGCTGGTCTTGTTGAGGATTCTTGTTAGATAGCTGGTCAGGCGTAGTGATAATCAGAGATGTAGTAGTAGTTGTAGTTGTATTGGGGGTTTTAGAATGTGATGATTGTGTAACTTTGGCTCTGCTAGCTGCAGAGGTGATTGTGAGCTTGGCTGAACCAGGCGGCGGTGGGGAAAGTCGCCGGAGTGAGAGCCTACTGTTTGTTGAAGAAAATGAGGAGAAGTCGGAGGGAGGTGTGGTTGTGTTCATAGCTGCTCCATCTGGGTTTTGTGCTTGCTTGTGGAAGAGAGTCGTTGCTTATTTTATCCACTAGCAAATTTCGGGACGAGAGAGTTGGACATTCGATTTGGGGATAAGATCTTTATGGTAGTCTGATTTTTGATTGATTCGTCATAGGTACCCAAACCCTACCCCAATTGTACTCCATATAAAAACCCACCTCCCTTTTCTTCTCCCCCTTCCTCTCTCCTGCACACCACCTCTCTTCCTCCCCCGTCTCCTCTTTTCACGCACCCCTCCTTTCCCCTTTCTTCTCCATCTCAAAATCTTTCCCATTTTTACCATTTTTCCCTCTTCCAACCTTAAATCTTCTCCTGCTTATCTCCACTTCCACCGGTGACGTTGATGACGGCGGGTCTATACCGGTTGCCGACGGCGGATCTACGCCGGTTGTCGACGGTGGGTCTACGTTGGTTGCTATTTCGGATGCAACCTCAAGGGAAAACAACGACGAAGGCAAACCAAGAAGATTTGAACAACTTGAGCAGCAAATCTTCTTTTCTTGATTTTGTTTTCTTCATTTTTGATGTATTTTGGAAATATAAAGGGTTGTCTGTCAGACAGACAACTTGTAAGTGCAATGTCTGTAAGAGTAATGAAATTGTCTGTTATTTGAAAAATAAATGTCTGTAATTGATATTTAATTATTTGTCATTTGTTTGTTAGTTGTCTGTATTTATTTTGAGTTGTGAAGTTGTCTGTAACTCATACTTAGTTGTTTGTCATTTCATTGTGAGTTGTATGTAATTTGTGGTGAAAATAATATCTGTCTCGTTATCTCTATTGTCTGTCTAGTTATACATATTGTCTGTCTTCTTTATGAAACATATTCCAAAATGGTAATTCACAATAAAGTAATGTCTGTATGTGTATACTTATTGTCTGGATGTGTATATTTAATGTCTGTCTCGTTTACTAATTACATCTCAAAAAATAAACATCACAAAATACAGACAACTCACAATCAAATACAGACAACTCAAAACAAATACAGATAATTAACCATCAATTACAAACAGACAGACAACTTCACGACTCTTACAGACTTCTCACAACAACATGACAGACAACTTGAAACAAATACAGACAACTCAAAACAAATACAGACAACTAACGATCAAATGACAGACAACTTGACGAGTCTTACTAACAAATACAGACACTGCACTTACAGTTGTATGTCAGACAGACAACCCTTTTTTTCGAAAACACACCAAAAATCAAGAAAAATATCAAGAAAAGTAGATCTTCTCAAGTCATTCAAAGCTTCTTGGTCCGCACTTTCGTCGTTGCCTCTCCATGTCAAGCTAACCAACGTCACCCAGCTCTCCCCTTCGCCCGATCTACTGTAGCTCTTGCATTTGAAATGAAAAAAAGGAAGAAGAGGCGAGAAGCAGGAGAAGAAGCTTGGAGGGAGAAAAGATTGTAAAAATGGGAAGATTTGATGGAGAGATGTTGGAATGGGGAAGAAATCAATATTTAGAGAAAAGAGAAAGAAAGGGGAGGGAGGGGGGCTGCGTATGTAAAAAGAAAAGAAGGAGGAGAGAGGGAGGGAAGGAGAAGAAAAGTGGGGGAGGGGGAGAAGAAAAGTGGAGAAGTGGGAAGAGTTTTTATATGAGGTAGAAAATGGGGTAAATTTGGGGTACCTATAGCAAAATTGCTTGGCTTTTGGGTGGTGAGGGAATAATTACTCGTATTATTATTTTTTCTTTTTCAGAGGATGTTTTGGGGTAAGGGCTAGGGAACTCCCTGCGGCCCTACCTCTTTATTAAAAAAATAAAAAGAAGAGAAACTCCCGTTTTAGTCCCTGAAATAGTTCTCATATTGAAATATCAGACTCGTATTTATGAGACTGTAAATGTCTCTTCTCAATTGTTCAAATTAATGTAAATATGGTCATTCGAGGGGTGAAATGTACATCTCGCCCACATTGTACATATCACCCCTCAAAGGATCACCTTTATAACAATTTGAACAATTGAGGGATACATTTCAAGGTATGAGGGTTCAAGGTAGAGAAAGGAGTAACATTTGACATGGCAAAAATTTCAGCTTTAATAGCTTTTAATGCCTCAGAAACAGTGGCCATTTTATTATCATAGATAATTTTATTGCGTATTTTCCAAAGGATCCATGTGATGGTATTTGGAAGAACATAATTAAGATCCACAATGTTACTCCTCTACCCTTTGTACCAATTTAAAAAGTATTGTTTTACAGAGTTAGTGGGTTTAGGATGGTAATTAAAAATGGTTTCAAAATGATCCCAAGCAGTAGTACTAAGGGTGCAAGATTTAAAATCATGATCAATGGGACTTTTCATAACCCCCTCGCAAGTGGACTGCATATATTAGCAACACACATACATGTCGCGGACGGCCAGGAGCATCCTAGGTTTTTTTTGGTGCCGCAGTCTTCTTCGTCCTCAGGTATAGTTTGCAGCAGAGTTACGTTCGTAGCACGAATCCATTCGCAGCAGGGATCCGTCCACGCGGAATAGCCAACTTTCGAAGCCATGCGGAAAAGCCATGCGGAAAAGCCAACTTTCGGTGAAATGGAAGCCAACAACATCGAAGTAGGACAACGCTCACGCAGGTCGTCGGTTCGACGACAACATGTGGCAGGCTCTCACGTTCTAAGGGGACATGGGTTTGAAATAGTTGATATTCATCACGAAGAGATTGAGGCTCTTGCCCAAGCCTATGGAAACATGGAGATGGAGGAGGGATATGAAGCAATCTTAGTGGAAGCTGAGAATTCAGGGGCAAGCGGTGCAAACTTGACTTTTATTGGCACTATCACATCGGAGAAACCGGTACATTTCTCTATCTTTAGAGACAGTATGGCGTCAGTTTGGAAACCCGTTAAGGGCCTTACTATAACAGATATTGGAACTAGGCGCTATATGTTTTATTTTTATCATGAATGTGACATGCTTAAAGTGACGCTTGAAGGACCATGGTTATTTGATCAAAATATGATTGTTCTAAAAAAACTCGAGGAAGATCTACCATTGACTGTGGCTTTGAATAAGACCGACTTTTGGATTCAGGTTTATGCAATCCCGACAAGTTATTTCTCTCTAAAAATGCTGAAAGAATAGGTAATTTCCCGGAAAGTTTGTGATGATGGACAATCACAATTTTAATGAAAAATGGAATCCTCTTTTGCGCATTCGGGCCACCATTGATATAGGCAAGCCATTGAAAAGAAAACTGTTTTTGCAAACGGAGGAGGGCAATAGCTATTGTGTTTCATTCCGTTATGAGAAATTACCCAGCTTCTGTTTTCTGTGCGGAATAATCGGGCACGCGGAGCAGTTTGGAGGGGAGTGCTAAATTGTTTGGTCCTTGGCTTAGAGCTACAAAGGGGCTGGTGATATTGACCCTGTTGCAGAAGCAGGGGTAAACAGAGTTGGACAACATCAAGTGGAACAAAGGCCATGAGTGACAATACAGACCAAAAGCGTAGACACATTGCAAGTGAAGGGGAGGAGACCAGGATCCAAGATATGGATGTGGAGCAGGGACAATCAAAAAATGGGGCGGAGGCCGGCTACAAGCCAACGGCCCGCCCAACACAGGATTGAGATATTTGCAAGCTCACCAGGGAGAGGATGACCCGAAGATTCCCTATTATCGTTTAATTTTTAATTTTTTTCAGCTTTTATTCCACTTCTCATTACGTTGTCCTTTGTTTTGTTTGTCTGTTTGGTGTCATGGATAATTTTATTTTGTTGGTGTTTACTAGTAAGAGGGTAGAAAGTAAGCAGATTTTGATAGCCGAAGTTAGCTTTGAATCTCTCGCATGTTCAGCGAGTAGTATTGCTCATCATCGGGCAGACTACTCTACACCAGATCAGAGATTGAGGGGGCCTTTTGGCTATAGATTGTCTGAGGAAAACATTGGGGTTGTGGGAGGTTTAGATGTTGGGCTGTTGGCTTTCGATATTCTAATATAAATAGTTTCTAGTTAAAAAAGATAATGATCAATGGTATCACTATAGGGGCAGATTGGGCATTTGAAAGGCCCAAAAATACCAAACTGATTAAGCTTTTTCTGAAAAGGTAGTAATGAGTTTTCAATTTTCCAAAGAAAAAGGGATATTTGTTTAGGGCTGTTCCAAAAAAAGCAGGAATTGCCATTCAAATTGGGTTTCCATATAAACCTGTCCTCAGTGTTGTAAACGATTTTGGTAGTAGCATTAATGCTATTGACTAGATAATGGGGCAGATTGTCGCTTAAGGTTTGGGACAATTTGGGTCCTATATCACACCAATTAGAGAACCAATAAGAGTTGCAACCATTATTAATTTGAATACAAACATTAGCATAAAAAGTAGTCCAGACAGAAGCAATAGACTGATACATAACAGAGGAAGTATCATATTTTAAAGCATTGTACCATTTAGCTCATATACCCTCATTTTCCGTAGTTTTCCAAAGAAGCTTAAGGAAAAATGTTTTTTTTTAATATGAGGAATACTTCTAAACCCTAAACCATTTCCAGAGACTAGGAAATAGACCCTCTCCCATGCCCGCCAAGTGTGCCTGTGGTTATCACTGTTTTTATCCCACAAATAATTGGAGAGTTTCCTCTCAATAAAATGGACAATATTTCTGGGGAGGAGGGAAACAAGCATGTAATATAGCGGAATAGTACTCAACACATGCTGGATAAGAATAATCCTACCACCCGGAGATGAAAGTTTATGCTTCCACCTCGACATTTTAGTCTCAATTTTGGTGAGAATGTGCTCAAAATAAGAATTCAAAGCCCTGCCCATAAAAATACTAGCACCCATGTAGGTAAAGGGGAGAGATCCCTGCTTAATTTTGAAAATGTTTTCAACATTCAACCAAGAGTGGTTTTTGGAATGCTTCGAGATGAGATAGAAACTCTTCTTTCCTTATCATTTGCCCAGAGTAGGTCTCATAATCAGTAATAATATTATCGAGTAAAATAAGGCTCTTTTTCCCACATTTGATAAAACAATAAGATCATCGGCAAAAGACAAGTGATTGATGAGAGGCATACCTTGAAGAGTATAGAAAGGCGTAGCCTTACCCGAGTGGAAAAGATTATTAATATGTCTAGATAGAATCTGAGAAGCAATAATAAAAAGGATAGATGAGAGGGTATCACCTTGTTTAACACCCCTACTCGGTTTGAAGAAACCTTTAGGAACACCATTGATAAGCACTGAGCACCAAGTAACATTCAAATTATTGCAAATAAGATTGACAAAGAACGGGTGCAAGCCAAATTTGAGAAGAACTTGATTAATAAAGGCCCATAACAGCCTATTAAAAGCTTTCATCATGTGAAATTTGAAAATAATGTTATGACCTCTAGTTTTCATATTAATGTAATGAACCAACTCTCTTAAAACCAAGATGTTATTCGAGATCTAAAATGCTGGGGGAGAGAGAAAAATAAATAAAATAAAAAAGAACAAATTGGAACTTGTTGATCGACGAGTTACCTGCTAAATAAATAAAATAAAAAAGTAAAAAGGTGACATGGGCCACCACGTGTGCACCACTTCAATCCATGTGTGTGCCATGTCACAAGGTAACTTGTTGATCGACGAGTTACCTGCTAAAAATCAAAATTGATGAAATTTGCGTAATACTCCCTCCTCTTAAAACTTGACCAAGTTTGATCAGTACGAGGATTAATAAAGTAAAAATTGTGTGATTCGGGTTTGTGCAAAAAATTAATTGGAACCTCAAATTCTTTATTTAAAAAGGAAAGTTGCAAAGTTAGTGGACAACCAAAAAAGTAAACTTTACACATTTTTAAGGGACAAAGGGAGTAGGACGTAAGTAATGAAACTGTTCGCGATCATCACCCTTGAGTCAATACTATCGTGAATACCTGCCATTTCACAAAATCTCATATACTTAGCGCATTGTGTAGAAGTAGATTCAACGTCACGAAATATATCATCTGATATGAAGTCTGGATCCTTATCAATGATATTAAAATCAGGATCGCCAATCGTGCTTTTTTGAATGTAGGTATGGAGTGTAAAACATGAACAGATTATCTTTTTTTTGTTTGCTCGGGAAGAGCTAAGAAGAAATAAGAGTTGTGCTCTTGAAAATATCTAATTAGAGAGGACAACTGAACAATTATACAATCACTAATGACAACGCTGAGATGGAATGTACAGTCAATAAGATTTACCCACATTTCAGATGCACCAAAACAATCTGCAACATGAATATACAAGAGAGTTACCCATACGCTTATGTAAAGTCACTTTAAAGTAGTATCAGAAGTGTTCATTCATTAGGAGGCATCACTGCATCACGGTTAAGATTTTTTTTTATCATGTCCATGTCCTTCACCTAATTTGGAAATTCTATTTCGAGTGGTATCATCCAGATTCTGAACAGAGGACACGATGTTTGATCATAGAGTCATTTTATCAAACACTTAATATGAAACTCATGTTAACAACAATTTGAACCAGATCCCTCTTTGAAGTCATAAAAACAAATACAACAAACAACTAAATCACATGTTGAACAACTAGGCTCATGTGCATAGAGTCTCGTCTTCAAGAATGGAAAGATCATGTTAGGAGATAATCCCGTTCCAATGGGATATGTTGGTTCATTCTTTTCTATATTCTCTCTTTCTTTGTTTCAGAGATGTTGCTCTATGGTCAAAAGCAAGACCTCGTCATTAGCCCCGTCAGCATAAGATCGTAGAATAGCGTCCTCTAAATGTATCATGTTATTAAGTGACTTCAGTTTTCACCTATAAAGTTCATATATGGACTCTTTCTATGATATTCTCCATTGCGCCTTAAGAACTCTGAAACCTTCTTAATTCAACTTCTTAGAGATGAATGTGCTCGATTAAATACCTCTCAAGATCCTCTTGGATTTGCACCACATAATTCTGTATGATAATACCTTGTCTTGAAGTAAGGTGAGATATCATTGTCTTTATGAGAAACCTGTATCCACTAAATAATACTTACATACATGCACATAAAATTAATACATTAGAACATTCATTTAGCATGTGAGTAGTATAAAAAGTTAAGTACCTAATGTTGGTTTTGGAAAATTGAGACTTGGATAATTGAGCGCATCAAGGAAAATGCGAGCATCATGTGTTGTTCCTTCCTTGCCGTTGAAAACATGTGTGACTAAACATCATCTCATGTTTCACGGGTATTATAACTGCTATCACCATATCCAACATCCATACCATCAAGAAGATTATGAGGAGTATCACTATGAGGTGGATCCAAACATACACATTATCTTCAATTTTCATACTCGTATATCCTTTTGGGTAATTAGACAACAAAGTGTGTTTTAAAGTTCATTAAGAATAAAAATCAAAGATTTGATCCATCTTAGTTGTGGTTCAATTCCTTCTTCTCGAAGTGCTTCAAATTTTGAATTCTCCTACAAAAAATTAAAGCTTAAAACAACTTCTTCGTACTTATAATTAAAACACATACTACAACAAATAAAACAAAAATTGCCTTAATCTTCATATTTTACCACTCATTAAAGGCATCAATAGTTATTATCCGTGAAAACACCAACTTTAATTTTTGTCAGGGATTATTTTCGTGACAAATCCAAACAACTACTTCATTGTCAGGAATATAATCCATGAAAAATCAAATCGCAAATTCCGACCAAAATGAGCCCGCTTCCAGCCGTTTTAAATATTAAGTCAGGTATTTTGTCACGGTGTAATCCTCGACAAAGTTAGGAATTTTTCCTATGACGAACCTGTTTTAGCACTCTTTATCTATATTCCTAACAAAACTCCTGGCAAATTTCTGACAAGCTTATTAGGGACGATATCTCTTACTAATATTTGAGACAAATGCAGTGGTTTTTGTAGTGATTATTGAACATGCCACAAAAGTTCGTACTAAGAAAGGTAATTATTTTCAATAGGTTAGATGTACATTTAAAAAGTATTAAAATTATTTTATTTTAGTGAACAATAATTACTTTTTATTTTATGACAGAAACCTCCATATTTTATTTTAAAGAAAATGTTGGTATCCAAGTGTGAGCATATTTTTAACATTGTGCAAAATCTTGTTTCATTTCTCTTTCGTTATTGCTATCAATTCGGGAGAAACACATTTTTGCTAAGCGCTCTCTAAGTTATTGTTTTACAAAATTTTCTGAAAAAGCATTTCCATAAGTCAATGATAATCAAATAAGCAAGTCGGGTTATTCCTGATTCCTGAACTTTATTTATTAGGTATACAAAATAGAGAATATTGCTAGAAATAGGACTAAAAGGTTTGAAAATTCCAAAATAGGCTTGCTATGTTTTTATTTCCAAAATAAGATTAATTACTACCATGTTTTGGCAGTACCAGACTTCAAACATGACAATATTTTCTAAACTTGGCAGTAATTACTCCTATTTTGGGAATAAAAAAAATGACAGTCCTATTTTGAAATTTTCAAACTGTCTTAGTCCTATTTCGGGAATTTTCCCTACAAAATATACCCGTCCCACTTCACTTTCCAATTATCCCTTTTTGTTTTTTTAAAAGATTTTGTCATTTTCATTTTAAAGCAATGAATTTGTGGCTCTATTCATTTTATCTCTCTTTTGCACAAACTTCAACCACGCTATTTTTACTATTCTAATTTCACACCCAACATTAACTTGGCAAAGTTGAGTGGATGAAAGCACACTAAACATCATTTAGAGAAACAATGTTAATTTTGGGTTTAGGTAACTAAGAATTGACGTGATGATGGATGAAAAAACACTAAGCATAACTTTTGTTTCATTAATGCCCTTGATCTTGAACTCGTGTTTCCCAAATAAAATATACACGATTTAGCATTTATATGGCATCATTCTATCATATTTAGAGATGGTTTAGTTTAATATGATCAGATCTGATTTAAACCAGTGTGATAGATATTTGTTTCTATGTGTATTTTGCAATCGTCGAGGTATGATCTGATATGGTGTGATATATTTAAATTTAATCTAATCTAGTTGGGGACGAAAATCAATCCAATTTAAAACATCCCAAAATGGATCATACCAAACCTTCTTGAATCATCATGGAAAATATAGTTTCTACAAATTCAATATCGTATTCCAAGTTGTGCACAACCCTAGTTTTTTTGTTATCACAAGTGATCACACAACTTCACCGAATTTATCATTGACTGTCAATAACCTTTGAAGGAAATAAATTTGTGTCACTTAAACAATCCATGATGTATAAGAAATCGTTCTTAACTAGTTGAGTACTTGAGTGTGTGTCTGAGAACTACCATTGATTGATTAAACACCAACAACTTCTCAACAAGATATTAACTCTCATGGCGAGACAAAATACTGACTGCGCGATCATTCGAAGTAGGGATGTCAAAAAAACCCGACCCGCAATGACCCGCCCTGGCCCGAGACATTTGGGGCGGGTCCGCCCCGCCCCGTCTTGCAAATGGGGAGGGTCTGCCCCGCCCCGCCTATATAATGGGGCAGGTCCGGGTATTAGAATTGACCCGTGCCTTCTTGTGCGGCCCTCCGGTCGCCCACTGCACGCCCAAGGCATGTGGTAAATTGGAGTATTAATTGGTCTCTGGGAGGCTAGAATACCATGCTCTACCCCAACGAGGGTTGAACTTAGGTTTTGTACAAACTGCAACACCCTGAGACCCGAGTACCTACTTGGAGTAACCATGTGAGGGCAGTGAGATCATAACATTTCTATACATTTCTATGCATGGAGACATGGTGGAAATTATTAACTCCAAGAATATGCAAAAAAAAAAATTATTCACTCCCAAGCAGTGTAAATATTAATACCAATCCACCACACAATTTGCTTGACACTAACAAGTAACAACCTTAACCTACTGTCTTCATCTTCTTCAGTCAGATCCAAAAGCCAGAATCACTCCCTCCTCAAGGCCACACCACCTAGTCATTGTATGTACACACCAACACTGTCTTCCTAGCCTGATAACTAAGTATTCACACTATGTACCTGCTTGCCTGATATGTGCACCCTATGAAAGGAAGAAGGCGCCTTGCCCCTCTGTTATGGCATATAAGAGCTTCTCTTTCATTTTCTCCTGAATGATAAAATAAAAATAGTAAACTCATCGCCATTTGTTAATTTCCGGTGAGTGTATGAACACGACAGAAAATTAAGGGCATGTTTGGATCCCGGAGAATGCTAAGGAAATCTTGTGTTTGGTCTTACCATGGAAAATGCGTAGGAAAGTGAATTATGGTCCATGTATTTTAAATTTTTTACATAGACTCAGATTTATGTGTTTTTATAACAAAACAAGATAAATAAAAGTAGTTTCAACAAATATCAAAATTAATTCATTGAGTTTGAGCGAATGTTTTATTATCTCTCACATTTTATTTCCTCTATTTCCGAGTTCCAAACAGACTCTAGTAGAGTGAGAAAAGAATTAACTTTAGAAGTGTAAGGCGGCAGCTTAAGATAATTAGCACATGTCATCACGCTGGGGAGGTCGTTATCAGCACATTTGCTGCATTTCTGTGAAAAATCATAGAGCAGCAGACATATGCATGAAATTAATGATAATAAAATAAGACAAGAGAAACTAAGAAGCATGTCTTCATACAGACCTTAAGAACAATTGTGAGTTTAGGGTTAAGAGATGCCAAGCCACCAGGAGGCAGCCTTGGAGCTCCAGTCACAAATTGCAGAAAAGCTCTCTGCTTAGCGAGATCAAATTCTCTTATGATTTCCAATAACTGCATTTTATATAAAGGTTATTGCAACGGGGACAACATTTATTGACAAAAGCGAGGCTTGAAGGATGAGTGTACTTACATTCATAGCAGGAGGGCTGCTGGCAGTGTAACCATGATCGAATTTGATGTGATCAACAAGTTCATTCAACTGACAAAAGAATAATATAATGGGATTAATCTATCCGCATACATTGCAAATCCCATTTGGCGAGAAACTTGGTATATTCTAACAAAATTATAGCATGGAATTGATACACGTACATTCCAAATCTGACGTTCTCCGCACAGTAAACGTTCCAATTCTTCTTCAGTGAATATCTGGAGATGCTTGATAGGGAAGACCTGAAGGAGTCAATATATTGGAATTTAGGTTTGATTGGAAATGAAATGACGCAATAATGATACGGGATTAAGAGGGTAAGGGATAATTCACTATGCCATAGAGAAGCAAACTTTGGAAAATAGGAATGTCACAGAATAACAAAATTCAACATTGTCATGATCAAATCAATAAGATTGATCCGGAAAAATGAAATGGTTTAATTCTAGATTATCTTTATTATGAATGACTCCCTCCTTCCCATTTTTAAATTGTAACTTAAAATAAGAAAACACCAAGTTTCAGATTTAAAAACTACATCAAAAGTTCATTAAATTAATTACGCCACGTGACTATTTGGTTATAAAATGATACTGGTATTGAGGAAATAAGATAGAATACACAGTTTGACCAAAGAATAATGCAGAATTGGACAGCGGGAGTATAAAATCAAATTTTTGGAAGCAAGAAACATGGCTAGTATGTTTGAAATGAGCAATTATCTAAAAAGATAAATTGAGGACAATGAATAATTATGATAACAAGGAAAAAGCTTCCAGAAACATAATAACTTCAGTGATAAAGGTCTATGAATGGGATATCAGTGCAAACCTGGTTAAAACCAGACTTAAAAGATTCCACCTGTCTGGAAACTCCAGACCTTACAGTTGCATCCACGGTCAGCGAAACATACTCCTCTAAGTTGGATATATTCACCTGAAGAGGAAACACAAAATGCCAAGTCACATCCTAAACTCTTCAATTTCCCACATACTAGACACAAGCAGCCATTTCATTCACCAAGTGCTAACCATTTCAGAATCAGAAGCAGAAGTGAGGATGCAATCTGTATAGCCAGGAAGAGAAAAGTCAAGGCAAAGGTCCTCTATTTTGGTGTTGTGGAAATACAAGTTGGGCATTAGAGTATATTTTCCTTCCATATGCCTTTTTCTTTCAGCAAGAGCGTGAAACTCCAAAAGAACCCTTCCTAACTCAGGATCAAATGATTGGATATCATATAGACTGAGCTCCTGCAGATCAAAGGTTGAAAATAGGTGATAGGTAATACACACAGATATCAGATGCTCGCAACAAAAAAAAAAGATATCAGATGGAATCATGGGAACTCAGGTTCTGAAGACATTTACCTTTTCAAGAATTAGCTTGTAAAATGCCCTGGATAAAGGAAGATCCAAAACCCTGCCATCTTGAAGAGACTTCGCCATAATTTGGCCAAGGAGGACAAACTTTTTAAGCACTTCAGAAAATCCAATTTCACCCAAGACATTCACAGATTGTGACCATGGGCGGGGGAATAGGCCGAAAGGAGACAAAAGACTCCCCCCTTGATGATCTGTATTATTATTATTAACCGCCACACCAACGTTTCCACATGACATACAGTCACCCCTCCACATGCCAAAACCACTTCTCTGAAACTCGTGACTGACCAATGTGTAAAATTCCAAGGTTGGTCCAAGACCAGTACCCACCTCATCACTGTACTCCACCTCAATTACGACCTTTTGACGAGCATGTAGTTCCATCATCTGAGAAGCAGAATCAAGAATCTTTTCGCGGTAAACCATAAACCTTTTACGGGGAACCCCACCACCACTGGCTAGATGCCTGCCGTTCAGGCCTCGACTATTATTATCAGATGGTAAACTAGGCTCAACTGGCCTCTTGCCTAATGTTTCCAGGCGAAAATAGTTACATCTTGCCTCAAAACTGAACAGAAACGGACATGAATCCATTAATTGGACACACCAGTAAGGCATGCCACCAACAGATACAGAAAGAGCGTCCCGCATTTGCTGTTCTAATTTGTCAGTCAATTTGCAGCTCACAAATTCAGTTTGAGGGACAAGAAAGTTTTCAAAGTTCAAACTATCCAGGTTATCAGTCCTCCCTTCTGCAAAAGCAAATACTCTTCCACGAGATATCAGATGAATTCTGAACCTGTTCATGTGTTCCAAACATCTAAGGAGAGATAAAATATCATAGGTTGGATCGGATCTGTCCATATCAACCAATACTGAGGAAAACATGTTAGAGAAAAATGGAGTGTATTGTTGCCACAATGTATGCTTGTCGTGTAAAGGCGAATGACGCGTCTTGTGAAGACAGTTCTCGACGCAATTTTGTTTTTGACTCACAGATGACTTGTAAATTATTTTATGGACCTGATTCCAAACCTTGGAATTGGTAATTGAATCATCTTCTACTTCAATATGTTGCTGAAGTATAGCTTGATACAGTGTTAGTTTATTGTTTAGTTTGTTTCCCTCCAAGTAGAAAAACAATTTCAGCGGAATGTCTTCAGTTTCACCACCATCACTGCATTGAGAACACTGTGTACTGGTAATACTATTTTCTTCAGACAGATTTAGCCTTCCCTGCTCCACAGACTCCTTTAACATGATATAATTAAAATAATGTAAGACAAATCCTTAAATAGGCAATTAAAATGGCTTGCAAGAGCATAAATCAATACTCCATTCACCCTTACCCCATGAAAAGTGTCGTGATTTTTGCAAGGTACTTGTTTTCATTTTTAGTTAACTCAACAAAAGGTATAAGCTTTTACAATTTATGAATGGGTCACGTAGTACCTATACCCCAAAAACATATTACAATGATTGTTTGGAGTAACTAAACCTATCACAGGAACTTTACTAAAAAATGAAAGTAGACTTTTAAAAGGTACTACAACAGCATTCCTTTCATATACAAGGAATACTTCAATCTGAAGGAATAAAAAAACGTTCAGTGGCCTAGAATGAGTCAATGGAAAATTTTGGTTGAGGGAATTATCAATATGATTTATCTAATAATTTCTGGTCTGCCTTAAGATCACCGAAACTAAAAATAAAGAAATATATTCATGAGAAAGGTATCAACACAAAAAGCATGTAACAAAAACAGATTCATACACAACTCATTGCATAATACCTTGAACAAATTGAAACAAAAATGTTACTCAACCAAATACTCTATGAATAATCAACTAACCATAGGAAATGTTATGTCCATTGAGTTCACATTGGCCTGCTTTGTATTTTCTGTTTCCACTGGTGTGGATGAAGAAGCTATGGCATTATCCTCTCCCTGAGGGAAGAAAAGACAAGGGAAAGAAAGGTGAAACAGAAAACTCTCACTTGGTTCTAGAACATTAAGAGCCTGTTTGGTAACACTAAAATTGGCTGAATTGGCTGATTCTGGTGAAATTTATGAAGTTCTGGCTAAAGTGGTTGTATTGGCTAATTGGCTAATTCTGCTGATTCATGAAAAAATTGTATTTAAAATATTTGTCATTAATAAATTAAATAAAAAAATTATATGAAAAATAGCTAAAATGATCCTCTACAGTAACTTCAGTCAATAGAGCCAAAAAAGTAACTCCAACCTTACTTTTTCTGCTTATTACAAAATTCAGCGCGCGAAATCAAAAGTTACGTGTTTGGTAAAAAAGCTTACTAATAAGCCTGATAAGCCGAAAAAAAGGGTCACCAAACGGGCTCTAATATACCGAGATGAATAAAATCAGTTGAAATAGTTAAAAAGTACTTTGGAAAGCTGCATTTGATTCATATCCACATGTATGTTCTCTGATTCTATAGGATCCGTAGCTTGCTCGTTAGAAGGGTTCAAATCAGGTGTAAACTGTGAAGCTGGCCCTTCCGCCATTGTTTGAGAGGGCAATTTTGAACTATCGTGAGTTTTTTTATTACTCACTTTTGGTCTAAGATATTCTTCGATTACATCCAAAGATGAAAATGGATCAGCATTCACAACATCCTTTGAATAAGCACAGAGGTCTGTCTCCCCCTCTCCTTTGATGAATTGAACTTTAAGACATGGGTATGAGGTGCACCGTCCAAACGGTACACTAGCATATGAGTTCCGTAACTTGGGAGATTGACTTGAGATCACAGGGAAATTTTCCACCGATGACAGTGCACTTTGCAATTGATGTACTAGATATAAAAAATTTGAGTCTGCAAATAATGATTCTGATGAAGACAAAAGCAATCTCCCGAACACTTCAATTCTCTTCTCAATATCATATTGCTGGAGAAGTGCAACACTAACATTTTCAGTCTTCCCGTCAAGAGATTTACCATTAGATAGATAATTAACTAGAGATTTCACTATTCCGCTCTCAACAAACTCAAAAGTGGAAATAGCATTCTTCCCATTTAGCTGTGACATGATCTGGGTCAGCAAATCATAAAAGTCATCTTCCTGTTGCATACAAGAAGATTTGTTGACCAGTTCAGTCAATGCCAAGGATAAAGTTCTTAGCTTTTGAAGAACAACAGTTAATCCTTTCTCCGGACTCATTAATTCTGGAATGAAGTAATCTGTCTTAATACGCTGTGCAAGATTCTGAACAGTCTCTCTCTCAAGCTTGCAACTCCAAGCAGATTCTGAATTGGTTGGAGACTGGCCAACAACATCAAAAGCAAAACACAAGCATTTCAGAACACCTCTTGGTGTTTTTGTTTTATATGTTGACTCATTTGAGGGTTGTGCACCATTCAGTGAACTTTTTCCTGGGGAAAGAAGTGCATCGACTGCAAAAACAACACCTTCCTTGACAAAGGGGTTTAAGAAAATATCTGATTGCTTCTGCATAAGGGTATTCACTATCTGAAGAGCTAGAATCAACACATGGTGATCTTTTCGAGAAAGCACTCCAGCCAAAGAACTATAAGATGATACAGAACCAATTTCAAATATTTCAGTTAACAAGAATATATTTACTTAAATGTTAGCTTAAAACCAGGACATTCAAAAGAAAACCCTTTTGCACCTTGACAAGTTAGTGCCTTGAAGCAACTCGGAAAGCATCTCTGAATTGCTGAAGAAGACTATCTTGTGGATAATGGAAAGACAACCATAGCAAACAGATAAATTTGCACCAGAGTTAACCAACTAATTCATAAGAAAGGAAAGTGTTAAAACATACAACCGCAACAATTCCTCAATCACAAAATGCAAAGCATAATAAACAATAAAAATAATATACTCCATCCGTCTCAAAATAATGGCGTTTTAGAAAAGTGTTCACAAATTAAGAAGCCTTGTAAATAGGCACTTCTACCCTTGTTCAAGTGCTGCATCCAATTTTTTAGAAGTACAAAAGCAATCCGTGTAGGAAGAGTTAATATTGGCAAATTTGGATGATTATAAAAAACTACACTGAATTACTTAAACTAAAATCACTTGAACAATTATTTGGGATGGAGGGAGTAATAAACTAGGCATTGCATCTGTCAAGCTCACTTGAAGAAGAGCAGGAAGTAAATCAATGCTGAAATTTTGCAAAAGATCAAGGCGGTTCATGAGAAAAGATTCCTTGTCGGTAGCTGGTTGAGTTTCACTTTCTCTGACTATAGGAGGGAGTAGCTCATACAACAGCTTCAAAACTTCATGTACCTTTAAAACAGCAAGTGTATATTAATCGAAACAAGAAGTACATAGTGGTATTGATACTTTGACTGTTTAAAACTAGCAAGTACATATAGCATAAGCTCTTAAAATGCAACCTAGAGCAATGCCACATGCCACAAATGATCAAACAAATGTGGAACTAAAGCATATACATAGTAAGAAATCAAAAGCCAAATCCAATAGTGTTAGTAGTGTGTTACTATCATACTATGAGCTGAAATGATATCTGGAGGCCGGGGGAGTAACAAACACAAAAGCTCAGCATTGATTTGGTCACGAGAAAGGGCTTATGAGTATACACAGTTATGTGACACATCATTTTTCATTGAAACTTGAGTTTGCACCCCATTTTTCATTGAAATTTGAGTTTGCACTCCATTTCTGAAAGCATTAATATTTGCACCCTGAAATTTCAAAAAATGTTTAAAAATAGGGCACAAAGTCCAATTTTGGGAGAAATGGGATGTAAACTACAATTTCAAGTGTGCAAATATTAAGGGGAGAGTTGGACTTTACGCCCTTTTCCCAATCCAAATTTAATTTTGCAACAAATTTAAAAAAATCATTATCTTTTGAGGGGACGAACTTACACTACAATTTAGTCAAACGTATCGCAAATAAAAGATCACATTATTAATATTGTGTAATTAGACTTATTCTAAGTTATATATGTACAGGTATGTACAAAAAGAAGATCAATTTATATAATTATGTGTGTGCAAAGATATAACCGCACATCAAATTTGAGAAAATTCCCTAAATAGGAGTTAAACATAACACATCTTCTGAAATAGGATTATCGTTGTTTTCTTCCTAAAATACGACTTCTTCACTACTATTTAGGGAATCTTTTATCCTTTTATTGTTTTAATTAGGATTACACATTTGGGGAAGAAAACACACTTAGTCTTATTTTAGAACTTTTCCTACGTTTTACTCCTATTTTGAGCTATTTTAGAACTTTTCCCACATTTTACTCCTATATGGGTTGAGTTGGGTCGAGGGGGCAGCTGCCCCACCCTAGATAGGCCCCTGGTTGCGGAAACTACTGATTTCAGACAATAGGCTATTAATTAAAGAATTTTATTTCACAAAAATCACTAATCACGGATATTAAGCATCATGTGCTACCTCTTGACATCAGCACTAGTAGGATGTTCTGAACAATGTGGAACAGTACTTACCCAGAACAATACAAATAAAAAATTGCAATATAAATGTCGTAGCTTTAGGCCATTTGGAGTCTTGAAGCTGCTAAACAAAAGAGCTTTATGCTTCGTATATTCTCCCATTTTCTACACCATTCACTATCCCTACAACTAACATTTAATTAAGGTGAAACCCTACTATAGCGACTAAAAGTGAATGGAAGGAGTATATGGTTGCTTAAATATCTAAATATCTAAATTATTCTAAAGTACATTTCAGGTTATACTGTTATACGAAAAATATATATTTGGGAAAACATTAATACTTACATGAGAAGGTCTCACTAAAATATATATTATTGAAATATAGAAGTCCACAACAAAAAACTACATGAATAAAACCATTTTGTTTTTACCAAAACTTAAAACTAAAATAGCAGCCTAGGATGCCTTGGTTTACCGCCTACTAGTGGGCTAGCTAATAATATCAGCCAATATGTCTTAGATGATGGTGACCAATGCAGCTTAGTGCCAAGGTGGTCAACTTGGTTGCCTTACTTGATTAGCAAATTGAACACCATAGCTGATCAAAAACATATAACAAGAAAAACAAGATGGAATCAGTGACAGACCTGATTGCATTGCCTATCAACAACTATGGCAGTTGATGGCACTCCATGAGAGAGATCATAGATGGACAATATATTACATAGTACACTGCTTATATTGAGATCAAAGAGTGTCTTGACGGCCAAAATGGAACCAGATGCCAGTCTTACAAGTAAGCCTATTAAGCCCTGCCAACCAGCAGGCCAGATAAAAAAAACTCATCAATTAAAATCCGAATTTGAAGAAATTAAGAGCATGACCCCCACCCACCCACCCCGGAAAAGGAAGTCAATTTACAATGTAAACCGGTCGACACAAAGTAGTTCTGCTATTCAAGTCTATTAGATGTGTGGCTTGTTGAACTAGTCCATGCTTACAAAGCTCCTCAAGCATCTCAGAAGAATGGCACACTTTTTCGACAATCTTGATCAAGCAACTAGCCACACTTTCAACAATCTGAATAGCAGGGGAACACTTCGATTAGCAAAAAAGGAGATAAAAAATATTGTGTAAAGATTCAGTTCGTTAAACTTTAAGCATACCTGTTTATCCTCATACTGGAGCAGATTACACAATATTGGAACTGCTTCCATGAAAGGTGAGGTACTATCCGATGGAAGTTTTTTACATATATTGACCACTGTTGAAAGTGCAACCCGCTATGCATGAGGAACAAAAAGGTAAGTAAAAAAATCAGTACTTAACTTCTAAAGAGTTGCAGGTTCCTAATAATTAGTGCATTTATAGTTTGTTTTGTTATTTATGATTTACCTGCACACTAGTTGAGAAGAAATCAATATAATTTAGAACTGCCATTATTGCCCCCGATTGCAAACAAGCAAGTGGCTGTTCACGTGAAATCTTTTCCAGTGCTTGCAAGCACTGCATAACGGATAGAGAATGCATATCATTCAAAACATGTAACAAAGCAGTTGATATAATAATATATTCCCTCCGTCCCTTAAAACTTGCCAAGTTTGACAGACACGGATATTAATAAAGAAAACTGTGTGGTTGAGATTTGTGCAAGGTTTGTGCAGAGGAGAGAAGAGAGAAAATTAACTGGAACCACAAATTCTTTACTAAAAAGGAAAGTGACAAAGTTAGTGGGACAATTAAAAAAGGAAAGCTAACAAAGTTTTAAGGGATGGCGGGAGTATCATGTAATAATAATGAAGTGAAAAAATTAGAACATGCTTGTTCAGCAACATCCAAGTACTGAATGGCCATCAATCTTTGACAAAGAGCAGGGACAACATCATGTCTAACAAGAAACCCAGAAGACCGAGAATGCACATCACACAAATAAGTTAAAGCCCGGATTGCTAACAGCATTATATCAGGATTGTTCTCACGCTTAGCCAATCTGACTAAGGCAGGAGAGAGTGAATCTGCCATCATACTTGAAAGGGAACTATCAGAACAAAAGGATAGCAATTCACACAGTTCAGTAAGGGCAGCCAATTGCCCTGACTCTTCACTCTCTTCACTCAAGCTTGACAGTATATTCTTGAATTTGGTTTGATCACCGGATGATCTCTGTCTGTAGTAGTCTCTGTAGTTGTCCGAATCGCAAGACCCGTATGTGGATTCCCTTTCACCTTCTTCATCTGAAGGATTTGATCCCGAAGTTGTTGAGGATGTATCCATTTCGCCCTCATGGACTTCATGAGGGTTTGTCTGAGCTGATGAGTTTGATGAGCTTGCCCTAAACTCTAATGAGCTACAGGCTCTCTTATCAGCAGGGAGCTCTTCGTCCGTATCTGTTCTCTTTTGTCCTCGATTTTCCATTGATAAATCCCTTCTATATTCTCCTGCATACGTTAAAATATATTGTTAATAGTTGCAGAAACAAAATAACAAACAAATCCCATTTTTCATGGTATGATCATGAATATGGTTTAGTCACTGTTATTTACTCATCACTGTTATTCTATCCTTGCGATTGACTAAAAGTGATTTAAAAACAAGAAGAAGTGGAGGAAAAATCTAATTAGAAAATTTGTACTAGCATCAATGATATACCAGGACCACAAATCCTGAAAAGAGAACCCTCCCCATAAAAACCACTCACAAATTTCTCAAAAAAAGAAAAGAAAAAGAGATACAGCTCGGATTGTCCATCAAACAGAGCAGCATCAGCAGTACTCTGTTCATAATTCTTTCTCAAAATAATAATAGGAGTGATCAAATTACAGATGGATTGTACGTATACTTTGTCAATATCACGGGGTACAAAAAGAAGATAGAAAAACTTAAACAATAACAAGAATACAATAGTAATAATAATAATAAATCAAAGTTAAACAAAAAGCTCTACTGCCACGGTTCCTAATGGCGGTGATGATGATGATGCTTACTCGATCATCGCTGGAAATATTAGGCCTTTTTAATTATAGTAATAATTAAAATTTCCGTCCTTTAATAACAATTCGTTTTGTATTTCACCATATATATGCAAATAATTAAAAGATGAATGTGCGTGCCTGTAAATAGGGCCAGAGATGATGTTGGTGGTGGCGAGAAGCAAAGTCGCTCTGGGTTTGAGTGTGAAGCTTTTAATGTATAAATATAAATAAAAACGGAGATGAAAATCTAACACTATACAGAATTTGTGAATGCTTAGGTTTCTGGGAGGAGAGTCATCAACACTGTTTCATCTTTTTTTTTCTTTCGAAACTGGGCAAATTAAGTTCTGTGGTTTTCTCCCCACTTGTTTTTTGTTTTCATATCTCCACACCAGTATTTTTATGCCTTCAATTCAAGGCGTTATTATTAGCACTCCCTATTACTCTTGTCCTTTTGTCCTTTAATTTTTTATAAATGCATGGTTATTGCAATCATTACAGAGAACTTTCACACATTAAAAGAAAATAGAGAACTTCCACACCAAGGTTCCATTTTGTTGGAGGATTTTGGAGGCAAGGAGACAATAGTTTTATAATGGATAAAGATTGAAAAGAATTGTGAGACCACATGACAAACGATCACATCTGAAAATAACAACACATTAACATGAGCGATTTGAATAAGTGATCATTGACCATCACGCAGACTCGAAGTTATCATTAACCACACAGGTCTTTTAGTAAACGAATAGACAAAACACCAATATTATCAATTAAACCAATTGGGATGTCATCCTTTTTTATCTACTAAACCAATGAAGAAGACAATGAACGTGATTGGATTAGGCAACAACACCAAAAAAGTAAATCAATAAAAAAGGTGAAAAAATGAATGCATATCATATTCACAAAACTCATCCATGAGATTACTTCGATCTAGCAAATAAGTAACGATCTAATCGAATTAAGCATGCACTACTTTACCTAATTACTTTGATTACAAACAATATAAATAACGAATCTGAGAATAAAGAGTGATCATGGTTTATGCGGATGATGAGTCGTTGACACTAGTTCAAGATAGATGAGAAGCTTGACAAAAAACTCAAAGAATACTCGTGACATACCCGATAATTTGAGAAGCCCAACAAAAATTAAGAACTATGAAATTACTGTTATAGAGAAATTGGTATTCATAACATCTGATCCAAACAACTTGTACCAAAATTGATAGATAAAAAATCCAGACAATCTAAGAATTTCCGCTAGATTTGGTGAAGAACAAAGAGGAAAACGTTCCACTCATGTCTTGCGGCTAGGGTTTTGGTGTTGCATGTTCTTTTGAATAAATAAACTAGGTTTAGATTGTTACAAAAGTCTAAATCCGTTCTTCTAAGGGAAAATGGTCAAAAAGTCCCTTAAATAATTTCCATTTCATCACTTAAGCCCTTCTATTAAAGAAAACATCATATAAGTACGCTTACTTTTTAAATACAATCAATCAAGCTATTTGAAAAAAATATTTAGGGGCCGGTATTGACAAATCTTATAAAAATTCATATAAATTTGAAAAATAATGTAATAATAATATAAAAATTGCATAAATGTAAAAATGGATAAATATTTCAAAGCTCGTAAAATAAAATAAAAAAGAAAAAAATCAGGGAAAAAGTAAAAAAATAGAAAATATAAAATGTAACAACCTTTTAAAAAGATACAGAATATACAAATAATTTTAAATTTTCAAAAATATTGACTTTGACCTACTATAATTTTTCATAATTTTTATATGTATTTCTATAAACTTTAACAAATTTTTATAATTTTTAAATATATAAAACCTGTTATTATAGGTTAAAAATCGAATAATTGGCCAAATGGGTCAATTTTTTAAAGTATGTGTACTTATATGATACTCCCTCCGTCCCATATTTATCTGTATACTTCTTTTAGTACATGGGCTTAAGTAATACTACCTCCGTTCCTATTAAAACTTTCAAATAGGTTTGGCACACAGTTGAAGATAGCATGTATTGTGTGGTGGAGAGTTGTGCAGAAAAATGTGTAAGAAATGTTATGAACCACAAATTTTTTACTAAAAAGAGAAAGTTGAAGTTTTAATTGGAACGGACGAAAAAAGAAAATGGAAGTTTATTTAGGAACGGAGGGAGTAGTTTGGAAATAGTAGAAGGCTTAGGGAATGTTTGCATTTGCTTCTACTTAAAAAGTGATTTTTAAAGTGATTTTGGAGAAAGTGATTATTAGTAAAAGTTGATAGTGTTTTAGAATAGAAGTGATTTTGATTAAAAGGTAAAACTTGTAGTGTTTGATAAAAGAGTGATTTTAATTGTACTCCCTCCGCCCCATAATTAACTTCGGTTTTGACTGGGCACGGGAATTAAGATAGTGGGATTTGTGTGGTGGAGAGTTGTGCAGAGGAGAGAGAAATGTGTAAGAATGATTGTGAACCACATATTCTTTATCAAAAAAGGAAAGAAGAGATAAATTTGAGAAGGACTGAAAAGGAAAGAAGGAAGATAATTTCGGGACGGAGGGAGTAATATTTTATCAAAGTACAAAAACACCCCTGAACACCATGTTGTCCTTTGTAATATCTTTCCGGAGTATCCATCGGAAATCTTAATCTGCCGGCTACCATCAACTTCAACGGACCAACAAAGGCCAAAATCACCGACTATTCCTAGGACCCTAAACAAAGAGGATGTGCCAACAATTCCACAATTCCCCAAAATCCATTCCATACACAATTCTTGCCACTCATATCTAATCCACTAATACACAATTCTTTATGACCCAGTTAGAGAAATAGGAGAAGTCCGAAAAACGTAGAGGAGAAAGAAGGAGCAGAGGAGATGCAGAGCTTGGATGCGGAACATGCGACAAAGAAGTGATTGGGTAATTTCGTTTTAAGATAAATAAATCATTTCTCATTATAATCATCCCTAAAGTTCAATTTAATTACAAAAATACCTAGGAGCAGCTAGAAGCAAGTAAATACCATGTATGAAGGTATGTAGATATGTAGGTATGTGGGTGTACACACATACACACACATATACATACACATACACACATATACATACTTACACATACATACTTACATACACCCATGACCCATCCATGCATGGATGCATGCATACATACATACATAATGGCCTTATTATTAGCACTCCGTATTCCTCCCCTTCCTTTATTTGTCCTTTAATTTTTAATGAATGCATGGTTATTGCAATCATTATAGAGAACTTTCACACATATATTAAAAGAAAATAGAGAACTTCCACACCAAGGTTCCATTTTGTTGGAGGATTTTGGAGGCAAGGAGACAATAGTTTTATCATGAATAAAGATTGGAAACATTTTTCAGACATGACAAACAATCACATATGAAAACAACACATTAACCATAAAAAACAATTATCAATTGACCATTGAATAAGTGACCATTGACCATCACGCACTCCCGAAGTTATCATTGACCACACAAGCCTTTTAGCAAATGAATAGACAAAACACCAACATTATCAATTAAACGAATTGGGATGTCATCCTTTTTTTTATCTACTAAACCATTGAAAAAACAATGAATGTGATTGGACTAGGCAACAACAACAACAATAAAAAAGGTGAAAAAATGAATGCATATCATATTCACACAACTCGTCCATGAGATTACTTCGATCCAGCAAATAAGTAACGATCTAATCAAATTAAGCATACACTACTTTACCAAATTACTTTGATCACAAACAATATAAATAATTGATCTGAGAATAAAGAGTGATCACGATTTATGCGGATGATGTGTCGTTGACACTAGTTCAAGATAGATGAGAAGCTTGACAAAAAACTCAAAGAATACTAGTGACATACCCGATAATTTGAGAAGCCCAACAAAAATTAAGAACTATGAAATTAGTGCTATAGAGAAATTGGTATTCATAACATCTGATCCAAACAACTTGTACCAAGATTGATAGATAAAAAATCCAGACAATCTAAGAATTTCCGCTAGATTTGGTGAAGAACAAAGAAGAAAACATTCCACTCATGTCTTGCGGCTAGGGTTTTGGTGTTGCATGTTCTTTTGAATAAATAAACTAGGTTTAGACTGTTACAAAAGTCTAAATCCGTTCTTCTAAGGGAAAATGGTTAAAAAGACCCTTAAATAATTTCCAATTCATCACTTAAGCCCTTCTATTAAAGAAAACATCATATAAGTACGCTTACTTTTTAAATAAATTTCCAATTGTAATTTAGGGGTATTGACAAATTTTATAAAAAAATCATACTCCCTCCGTCCCGTTGGACTTTGCCAACTTTCCCTTTTAGGTTGTCTCAACAAAATTTGTCACGTTCCTATTAAAGTAACTAATTTGTGGTTCCACACATTTTTCTCTCCTCTGCACAAAATCTCAACCACACATGTTTTAATATTCTTATTTCTCACCTACTTTGCACTTGGCAAAGTCCATCGGGACGGAGGTAGTATAAATTTGAAAAATAATGTAATAATAATATAAAAATAGTATAAATGTAAAAATGGATAAATATTTCAAAGCTCTCAACATAAAATAAAACAAAAAAAAAACAGTGAAAATGTAAAAAAATAGAAAATATAAAATGTAACAACCTTTTAAATAGATGTAGAATATACAAATAATTTCAAATTTTCAAAAAAAAATGACTTTGAGCTTCTAAAAATTTTCATAATTTTTATCTGTATTTCTATAATTTTTTAAAAATATATATAATTTTTTAATATATAAAACCTTTTATTATAGGTTAAAATTGAATAACCGACCAAATGGGTCAATTTTTTAAAGTAGGTGTACTTATATGATACTTCTTATAGTATGTAAAACCGTCCCTAAATATATTTACTTTTATGTAAATCATGTATTGAACCTTTTGAAATGGTTAATGAATTTATGAGATTGTAAATTTTTGTTATTACGTTTGCGTGCATAGTGAATTGCACGTGGGGCCCACATCGGGAGCGGGGACCACACTATATTTATGGGACCACATATTCTATTCATCTTGGTCTAGATAATATGTATATGGTGGTGGATATTTTTGTTGGGTCAGAGAAAAGGCATAGAGTTGACCCGTTGGTCAAACGAAGCCCAATTACCACTATTGGCAATTTATCGGATAACAGCCTGAAATGAGTTTCGGAGACATCTAAATTAAAGTTGGGGAATGTACTTTCATTATAAAGGCCTATAGTGATTAAAAACATGTGTTATATTTTATTTGACCCGATAAAATAAAATATAATTAAAACAGACCGAGAAATACAACTTCCGGGACCGAATGTACAGTCCAGGGCACAAAGGGATGACCTCCCACATGAGTGGGGGTCACCCCACGTTTTTTGTGCTCAAATTAATGAGAGGGGGCTGGTTTGACTTGGAGGTGAGGTGATGAGCATCAATGTATAAGGGTAATAAGGGGTCCCCTTTTTCCTCACCATTTGCCAAAAGAGACAAAAAGTGGCATCCCCTCCTCCCTTCAACCATAGAGCTCGACCAAGGCCTTCCAAGAGAGAGAAAAAGAAGCTCCAAGTTCATCCTCCATTGCTGCAAACCGAGCTCAAGCAAGGTTGATCCAAGGAAGAAGATTAAAGAAGAAAAAAAGTTAGGGAAAGTGTGAAGGATTAAGTTTATAACCTTATAATAACTTTTCTCCTACTTTTTAACTATCATATGACATATATATCATATGGAGGAACCCTAGAATTGTTCCACATGTTTAGAAGTGTAGAATGAGGGGTTGGAAGGTGGTTCTAAGTCCAAGAACGGACTTAGAAGCCAAAATGACCGGTTCGCCGGAAAATAACCTTTTAGAGGTTATTTGTGTTGATAACTTGATATGGGTTTTGTGATGATAAAACCATGTTAAGAGCTTGACTAAAGTGTTCCTATAATTCTCCATATTGCTTTACTTCCGAGTTCAATCTTTGGAAGTCTCGGAATAGTTCTTCTGGTAATACCCGCGTTGCTCAGGATGAGTGCTCAGATTTCTGGCTCAAAGCATCTGCCACCACATTAGTTGTTCCCTCGTGTTATTGGATTTCCATGTCGTAATCACTTATAAGTTCGAGTCATCTTCTTTGCCTCATGTTATGCTCTTTTTGAGTGAATATGTACTTTAAACTTTTGTGGTCACTATATATCTTACATTGTGCTCCGTATAGGTAATGTCTCCACATCTTCAGAGCAAACACTATTGTGGCCAACACCAAGTCAAGAGTAGGATAGTTGACTTCATGCACCTTTAATTGTCTTGATGCATAAGCCACCACTTTCCTATTTTGCATAAGCACACACCCCAACCCCTTCTTAGATGCATCGCGTGCCCTTCCGTCCCTGAAGGTAATGTCAAGACCGGCGCGATTGTGTGTCTTTTCTTCAACTCCTAAAATGCTGCTTCGCAATCTTCATTCTGATGGAACTTGGTTGTCTTCTTCGTCAAGTTGGTTAACGGTCTTGCTATCTTGGAGAAATCTTAAACAAATCTCCAATAGTAACCGGCTAATCCCAAGAAACTTCTTACATCCGTGACCGAGGTAGGTGCACGCCACTCAATCACCACTTCAATCTTGGAAGGATCTACGGATGCGCCCTCTTGGGTACTTTTGTAATATTACATTGTTTAAATTATAAACTATGCTCATGGATACTTTTTTAATACTACATTGTTTTTGGCTTGCGAGCCTACGTTTTGCCATATGTGGCTTATGATTGACTGTTGAATATTTTCCGTTATTCTATCAATCTATGATGTGATGTTGTTAGGTATGTTTACTTATTGAGTATGGTGTGAACGATGTTCATGAACGACTTGTGTGATTAAGTGAGGTTGACTTACAAGTGACGTCATTTGATCACACGACGGTTGTACACACGCTTAGATGCGGTCTGGGGCGTGACAATTAAGTGGTATCAGAGCCAGGTTAGTTTCTAAACTATGTAATCAACCTCTCACAAGAGATTTTACAAAAGAGTTTTACCGAAAACCATGAGCATTATTTTATTTTGGCGTTTATAGAACGATTGTCACCTAAGTTTCAAGGTCTCTAATTGTTAAGATGGTACCCTTAACAATTGGTATGGCGGTGACTTGGGTCAATATGTGTCTATAACGTTTTCCGTCAGTTGACATTGATTGGAGTCTAATGACTCGTTCAAATTCCTTTTCAGAAATGGAGGGTAGACGTATGCAAACAAGAAACAATCCGAGAGGGAAAACACTGGTAGCTTCTATTGGGGCTAGCCGAGCCGCATCTCGGGGATCAAGAAGTGGAAGGGGAGGCCGTGGAGGCTGTGGAAGCCGTGGGGGCCATCGAGCCCAAACTATGAGCGACAGTCATGTTAGCTCAGTGTATGAAACTAACACCGAGAACTATGACTCAACCTTTGTTCCCGAGACGGAACGTGAGGAGACCCCGTAAGATGGGGGTGACATCCACACCGATGAGGAGGACAATGATGAGAGTGATGCCTGATTCTCCCAAGGAGGCAAGGGCCATTGGGTGTAGGTCCTTTGATGGCACCGGCGCGTTGCCGCCGATTGGATCAAGAAACTGAAGGATGCATCGAAAGACATGCAAATCACATCTGACGTGAAGTTAATTGTTGCTTCACGGTTGCTTGAGGGGGATAGCTTCTACATGGTGGGAAAGTGTAGAAGGAAAAGATCATGGAACTATTTCATGGGAGAACTTTGAATAGGAGTTCTACGCTCAATACTACTCTCACTACGAAGTTAATATGAAGCATTGGGAGTACACTAACCTCAAGCAAAGGAAAGGTGCAACTATTAAGCAATTGGAGCAAGAGTTTAGAATCTTGGCTACGTTCTTACATGAGTATGCGGCCGATGAGGACCGTATGACTGAACATTTTTTGGATACCCTACACTTAGACATCCGTAATCGGGCCACATACTCGTGCCACATGACCTTTAGCGAGGTCGTGGAGCCAGGCATGCTTGGGGAGACCCAATGGAATGAGAGAAAAACAAGAGATGGGATTGGTTCATTAAGACCACCGGCGCAGCCGGCAAAGAAGAATAGAGATGCAAGGTGGCACGGACCTAGGCCACAGAATTTGGGGGCACCTAGATGTCCCAACTGCACAAAGCAGCACTTTGGAAAGTGCAATGAACCACCGAGGTGCTTTAAGTGTAGGAATGCGGGCCATATGAAGCCCAATTTCCCTCAAGTGACGCAAGATAACGCATCGGGAGCCGGAGGTGGGATCATGACGGGGAGAAACCATGCGGGACCGTCACACGGAGGCACAGGAAGAGGCGGCGCGTCAACAAGCAACACCGTGTCCGTTAACCAAGGCGGGGCCCAAGCAAGGGTCTACGCCATGACCGAGGCTGATGCTCGGGCCAACCCAACTCCGTTGCAGGTAATCCCTTGTTAAAGCTTGATAATATACATGTAATTATGTGTTAAAATGTGATAACGGGTTTGTACGGGCTAACCGGCGACGTTACCGGCCGTTTTCTAGCCAAAAGAAGAATAAAGGAGGCTGTCCAGGGGGCTATCGACGCCGGTCCCTGGCCAACCAGCGCCGGTTGTAGCGGCCAATCCTCTGTAATCAACCGGACCTCCGGTTTTTGCCCAACCGACCCATATTTTTCCCCCAACCGGCGCCGGTCATGGATCCAACCGGCGCCTGTCCTGAAAGTTTTTCGTCTGTTAGCGACCGGTTAACCGACCCACGAAACTGCCCGGGTCAGGCCCAACCGGCGCCGGTCAGGCCCAGAACTAGTTTTTCGACTTTTGTATGACCAAAATCCAAAAAAATAAATAAATTTCGTTTATATATAAAGGTTGAATGACAAAAATACCCTTATTTAAATTATGTTCATTTTGCACTAATTTCTTCCCATTAAAATTACAGCACTTTATAGTGCCGTTAATGCGCAACATTAATGCATGATTTTACTGCACGTCCGATAATTATCACTGCACTTCCGCCATATTTATTCTCTTCTCATTCACTTGAGGAATTTATTTTTTAGTTTTTGTTTTTTAGATTAAATAATTGTATTATTTTACGTCTAATAAAGTATATTACATTTCATGATGATATTTCTGCTCTGGGCTACTGCAATTATGGTCATAATCACTGCATAACAAAATTTCTTAATGCATTCATTCACTGTCTTGTACAACATGTCTATTACCATGTATATTCACTACAATTCTCGCCAATGTTGTACCACTATCTATTGCCTTCGAATCACTGCACATAACACTTTTTCAATGCATTTATTCATTGTCCATGTATAACATTAATTATTGCCATGTAAACTCACATACTCAACAACATTATTATAAACTTCAGTGTTCATTTTCACTGCACATGTTCAATGCCTGTAAACCATAATTTTAGAAAACACGAAATTAAGAAGCCCACAAACCCTAATCTTGATTAACCAAAAACCATCGCTGTAGAAGGAACTCGTGTGGTTGGACGGCTGGTTGCTACTGCCTGGAAGGCAAGAACTATGACGCCCATGGTGAACAACACGATGGCAGGGAGGGCTGTTGCATCTTCCTTGAGGGTCCAACCTTGAAGGCGGTGGTGGTTGAAGCTGAGACCGTCCATGGACCAGTGCGTCTCTTTGCCCTCGACATTATGGCATCGAAGACAGGTATGAGGCAGGCTGTCCGATTGGTGTCATATGAGGTATGCGAGGGCGAGAGGAAGGAGGGTGAGGACCAGACGGCGGTGCTGCTCGACGGCGGCGGTGCTGCTGCTGGGCGGCTGGACAACGGGTCGTAGAACGGCTGTGGAAGTGGCTGTGCGGTTAAGGTTGGAGACAAGAGGCTATGGTTGGAAAAAATGAGAAAGAGCTTAGGGTTTTATAGACATAGCTTAAAGGGTATATTAGTCCATACAAATTAACTAATTAATTATTAATTACGAAATTAATTATATATTACCAATTTAAATATTATTTTGAAAAAAAAACTAGTTAGGTCATAGATTGGGAAAGTGGGAGAGTTTTAGTCATACCTAGGGTAATTATCTCTATATTATTATCAGTTCGTTCAACTCATCGGGGTTAATCATTATCATAATTGTATTCTTTATATGTTAGAAGTAGAGGTGAGAAAAATCAGAAGAAAGATGTCAACGGTTCATTTTATCTTTTTAGATTATCCGAATAAAATATCTAGAACAAAGTCAACAAACCCAAAAATTCGAGTTCACTAACGACACCTAAAATCTATAGCCCTGATTTTAACTAATATAAAATCAATGAGCCTTGTTCCAGTCTCCGATTTTCACACCCGAAATCTTTAAGATAATTTTCAAATTAAGCACAAATCGACTTAGACTAGACCCATCACACCCCTAATTAGAAAAACACACAAAGAAGTGTATGTAAGTATTATTATTACTATCGGTTAAAAATAATATAAAGACAAAATTTCAAAAATATTACTCCCTCCGTCCCACTTTGTAAGACACTTTACATTTTACGATGTTTGACCAACGATAAAGCAAACGGATCCATCTCTGCACTCAAATTATTTTTAGACAAAAATATTACTTAGTAACTATTAGTGATTACAATTGTGTTAAAATTTACATCGTAGTAACTAAATGTATGTTATTGTTATGTAAATTTTGAACACAGTTGTAGTCACTAATAGTTACTAAGTCAATTTTTTTGTCCATGTCATTTTTATTAGTAATATTTAAGAAACCCCCCAAATATAAACACATTTAATAAAATGTACATTGTAAGTTTTTTTATTTATACTGTTACATGGGGCATCGCAGATTTTTACCGGCTAATCATAAATGGAGACACGACATAAGTAGCTTTGATGAGAAGCTTGAGTTAAGGCCTGCACCTAAAGTGTTGTCTGGCGATGAAATTCTAAAGCAATTAGTTGATCTTAAAGAAGTTGTATCAACTTCAAGTAACAGTAAAGCTAAGAAGAGAAAGAGAAAAACTTTGTGGAGAAAAAAGAGCATTTTTTTGAACTGCCATATTGGAGTAGTCTTCCATTACGCCACAATTTAGATGTTATGCATATCGAGAAAAATATTTCTGAAGCTTTACTTGGGACATTTCTAAATATTGATGGGAAAAGTAAGGACAATGTTAGTGCACGTCTTGATTTGGAGGAGATGAATATAAGAAAATCATTGCACCTTAAAAGGCATAATGATGGAAGTGTGGAGATGCCTGCAGCTCGTTATACCTTATCCTCTCAACAAAAAAGAGATTTTTGCAAGTTTTTGACTAGTGTGAAATTTCCTGATGGCTATGCTTCTAATATTTCACAAAATGCTTTGCTAAAAAAGAAAAAACTTTCTGGATTGAAAAGCCATGACCACCATATTATCATGAAGCATTTGTTACCTCTTGCAATACGTAGCTGACATAACACTTTGTCAGCACCACTTATTCAATTGAGCGCCTTTTTTAGAGAGTTATGCTCTAAGACATTACAAACTGATGAGTTAGAACAACTACAGAACAACATTGTTCAAATTCTGTGTGAATTGGAAAGAATATTTCCACCTTCTTTTTTTGTGATTATGGTACACTTGCCCATTCACCTAGCAAGAGAAGCTATCATTGGTGGGACTGTTCCATATCGCTGGATGTACCCCATTGAAAGGTAATGTAAATTTGAATTTTTTTTGTTACTTATTATCAATATTAATTTTGAATATGCTAATATTTAATAATTTAATAGGTATCTGTGTAAACTTAAATGGTAAGTGCGCAATAAAGGTCACCCTGAGGGTTCAATAACAGAAGAGTATCTTTTGGAGGAGTGTTTGACATTTTGCTCAAGATATATGGATGATATAGAAACGAAATTCACTAAGAAAGATAGAATTTCAGATGATTTTGATGTGCATTTATCTTCATATTGTTTGTCTATTTTTATGACAAGAGGAAGAGCATTGGGAAAGGCAACTCCGAAATTAGTTACAACAAATGAATGGGAAGAAATTCACTTTTTTGTGTTAAACAATTGTGACGAAGTAAAGCCATTTATCGTGTAAGTGTTTCTTAGTGTTTTGTATAAATTAGTTAATCACTTAAAAGTATCTAAATTATATTTCATATTTTTTTTATTATAGTGATTACCAAAGTGAAGTTGCAAGTAGCACAACGATGACATCCATTCAGAAAAAAAAATTCATTCTATGGTTTAGAGATCGAGTAAGAGTCTCTAAGAAAATCACATTTTCTTAATTTTTCAGTCTCTGATAATAACATTGTAATAAATACATATTTTCGGTATGTACAGGTGACAACATTGTCCAAGGAAAATAACTCGAGTGTTTCGAAACACCTACTAGCACTCGCTCATGGTCCAAATCGCGCAGTCACTTCTGTTAATGGTTACATAATTAATGGTTCCATGTTTCGCACAGTAAAATCTGAAAGGGGAAGGGAAACACAAAACAATGGGGTTGTTGCGAAGGGTGAGAGTGGAGTGGAGAATCTTGAGTATTACGGAGTCCTGCAAGAAATCATAGAAGCTCAATATATTGGAGCGAATCATGTGACATTGTTTAAATGCGATTGGTGAGATGTTCACAGTCATGGCAGGGGAATAGTTACTGACCTCTATGGGTTCACTAGTATTAACACCAAAAAAGTGTTAGCTAATGATCCTTATGTTTTTGCTTCTCAAGTAGAACAAGTTTTCTATGTTGATGATGTTGTGAAACCGAATTGGAAGGTTGTAGTTAAGACTAAGCCAAGAAACTTCTACGATGTTGCTGAGGAGTCAAATGGAACTAATAACATGGATGAAACATATCCATAAGCTTACCTTTCTATAGAAAATATTTAGATTTTGAGTTGACTTTTAACTAGATCCTTTCTTTTGATTTTTCATATATAAACATATAGTACTAATTATTCAAGTTTTAATTTCTTTTTTATTGTTCAAAGTCTTTATATTACTGCAGTTTAACGTTTCAATATATTTCCTATGCATGCGTTTCTTAATTTTAACCCTTATTTGGCTATTCCGTGGTGTGATTTATTTAAAAGTCATTTTTTGGCAATAGCTTTATTATGTTAAGAGCTAGAGGAAATGCACATGCTCAACCAGTTGAGATGCAACAAAATACGTATGAACAACAAAGACTCAAGAATATTCAGTCTAACAAGTTCAAAATGAAATCTTTGGGTATCAAACGTATTGCTGCATCAATTAATAGTTTTGTTGATAGCACCAAAGGAAAGAAAAGAAAAATGAAGCCCAAACATAGCATTGAGTAACATGATGATTATATTCTCAACTATGATTCTAACTATGAGAGTGAATCTAGTTTCCCTGCTGCAAGAAAGTTACTACCAGTAGTTACTATGCTTACTTTTACTGTTTTTTGTGTTAGTTATTATGTTGTTAGATGCATGATGCATCACTCACTTTTCTATTTAACACTTCAGAGTAAAAGTATACCAGTGAAAGAGCGGGCTGAGAAAAGGAACTTCCAGACTAAAGGAGTAGCATCAGTCAAAGAGCGGGCAGAAAAGCGAAACTTCATCCCACCAGCGTCACTTGCAAAGATGTTAAGAATGAACAAAAAGCATCACACAAAAGCACATGAGGAAGTTAGATCGGTATCCACTACTATTAAAGATGTTCAACAAGGTAAAATGTGTACTTCAATTATATATTTCAATTCCATAAACTTTTCAAAGCCACGAGTAATAAAGGGAAAATATATGAATCAAGCATTAGTAGTATCGAACAACTAGAAGATGATCAAGACAACATCGCTTTTGATGAAGGTATGCAAATCACTATTAATTTTATTTGATGCCTTCCTCTATGATTATCTTAACTATATATTTATTGGAGACTTGTCTCGACCATTTTATGTGTCCGTGATAAATGATGATAGTCCAGATTGTTAAATTTTATTTGATGTCTTCCTCTATGATTATCTTAACTATATATTTATTGGAGACTTGCATGATATAGATCTGGAGGACCAATATAACAATACAGACAACGAAGATTCTCATATGGATGAAGGTATACGATATATAAAAATATGTCGTATTATAGTTTTATTTCATTTGTTGTAGAAAACAATGCGTTATTTTGTGTATTTCCTTCTCTGCATGATATTCTAATGTATACTTAGACGATGAAGAAGATAATATCATTCTAAATAAGAGGACTAGCGATGATGTAGATTCACCTGATGCTAACAGGGGAACACAAGTTATTTCTCAAGGTATGACTCTCTGAATGGTACCTGATGGATAGTGTACCCGGGGGGTAGCTTATCCGAGGGGTTATTGCGGAGAATAACTAGAGAGAAGTCAGAGCAAGTAAGTAGAGAGAGAGAGAGTATGTTAGAAAATGTATTCAGCGTTTTTAGCGTGGTTTACAACGGGGAAATGGGGTGCTATTTATAGTAGTAATAAATGCCAGACAGGGGCACGTGTCAAGCACCCATTGGCCGAGGGGTCACCTCAACTGGTTGGCGCTGGCAATCGCATGTGGCCGCATTTAATGCGGCTATTGGATGTGACGTCGTACTGGGTACGGTGATCTATACGCATGTGGAGCGGATATTATGTCGGAAAAGGTGCCCTCGGTTGTAGGTGATTAGCCGAGGGCTCTGAGTGTCGGGGACCCCCTTAGTGCCGAGGGCTCTAGGTGCCGAGGGCTACTGATTTTCACCGTTTTCTCCCAGTAACTTTGTTTTCCTGTTTTGACCCTCTTGTGAGAATCAGAGCCTTCGGCCAGGGGGCTGAAGGCACCCCTGGTGCGCATTGTGGGCTGCTTGGTACTCTGGGCGCCGTGATTTGGTCCTGTTGTGCTTCCTGGGCCTATTGGGCCTTTATTGGAGTAGTAGGAGTTTGTGGACCGTGGGTTCCCGGGCCATATACTCCATCAGGAGTCCCTCACTCCTTTTGCCGAAAGGTACTTGAGGTAATAGGAGTAATTGTGTTTGTCCTCTGCTGTTGTTCCGTTGTAGTTTGTAGAGTTGTGGGTAGTTTGCTGTTTGTTTATTCTGCCGAGGACAGTCCCTCAGTTACCCACATGTCGGGACTTGAGGGGTCATGTTTGTGATTTTTGTGATTCCTGAGGGGTTTTTTTTCCCGAGGGGGTTCTCCAGTCCCCCACTCCTTGAGGCACTTGCAAAGTGGTGAAAAGGAGTAGAGTAATCATGTTGCTGCATTGGGCCGAAGGCTGACGCTTTTCGTTTCATTTTGGGGGGATGCCTCGTTAAAAACCTCATTAGGAAAAACCCTGTGGGAAAAAATCCTAATGAGGAAAAAAGAGTGCACCGAATTCCCCCAACGATGAATCGAAAATGTGAAGCCCTGGTTTGTAATGGAGTATAATGGTGATGCCGAAGGCTATCCTTGTTCTGAGGGCTCATGTGTTGATTAGTCGGAGGCTTGCTGTTGATATCCTGGGAGGTGCCGAAGGGGAGTCCCTCAATCTGGGGATCGAGGGCATGATGAATGCGAGTAGTAGTTGAAGTGTTACCGGGGTGTCATCTGTTTGTTGATTAGTTGGTGAGGAGGGTATCCGAGGGCTCCCGTTACCTGTGTGCCGTAGGCTATCCGTCAATGAGGTGTACTCCCCGGGGGCTACCCGGCCCTCAAAGTGCTGAGGGGGGATCCCCGAGGGGTGGGCCTGTTATGAAGCCGTGGGCTTCTCAAGGAGTGAGCCCGAAGGCATTTGTTATGTAGTGTGTGGGGCACAAACCGGGAGCATCTCTGGGTAAGTGTACCCGGGGGCTCTTCTTCATGAAGTGGAGTGAAGTAAAAAGCCCGGGGGCCAGTTCCTTGGTTGATGAAGGAGTGGGCTGCTAAATTTAGCCGGAGGCTCCCAGAATATAGTCGTTGGAAATATAGCCGTTGGAATATCTAACGTCAAAATATAGCCGTTGGGGGGGAGCTTCCACGTGGTGCGCGCTCGTTGGCCACCCGTGGGCGGGTGTCACCGATTGGGCGAAACCACAGTTTGTAATGATGGCTTGGTGACCGGGGGCTCGGTTCTCAGGCCCAAGCCCGGATCTGGGCGCCTATAAATACCCCATGGCCGGGCATCACTCTTCTTGTGCGATCCTTTGTTAGCGAAGCTCTGCCCAAATTTCTAGAGAGAGAAAATCCAGCCTTCGGTCGAATCCCCACCTTTCAAGGTCAGTTCTTGCATACTCTCCTTCTTTCTCACCTTTCGGTCTTAGATTAAGTGCCCGTAGCTTAGAGCTTTTAGGACCTCCCTTCGACCCTTGATTAAGTACGAAATGTCCTCGCAAAGTGATTCCCAAGATATTTCGGGGGAGCCTTCAGTTGAGATGGAGACGTACTCCGACGTCGAGTCTTCGAGCGAGGAGTCTTCGGTGGGTGGTGACGCTGCTGTGGCCATGGAGGTGGAGAAGGACCTTCGGGCCGAAGTCGAAGCCGAAGACTTCGAGCAGGTGAATGAGGACAAAGAGCTCGCCCTTGCCGTGCAGACTTGATATGCACTACTTTATAGTGCATAAACGTATGTTTTTATGTTGATTGAGTGTGGATTTTCCATCATTTTTAGTTAGTTTGTAAGTACTTGTTTTATTTTGTTTGTAATTGTTCTCTCCTTCTTTTTCGGAGTTTTAGAATAGCGATAGAGTTTGTAGCAAGGAAAAAGGGAGAAAAACTGAAGACAAAAAGACCCAGGAGCACAAAAACCCGACCGGGTCAGACCTTGAACCCGGTCGGGTCAGTTGAGGAACAGATCTAAGAAGAAAAAGTAAGACCCGGTCGGGTCCCATACCTGACCCGGTCGGGTCAGATATGACCCGGAACACCAGAACATGCTGAAGATCACAAAGATTTTGGAAAAAATCTGATTTAGACCAAATCCGGTCGGGTCCCTCACTTGACCCGGTCGGGTCTGACTTGACCCGGACAAATTAACGTGCTGGAACAATGAAACGTGGGAGATTATCTGATTTTGACTGGTACCCGGTCGGGTATGTACCTATACCCGGTCGGGTACCCGGCCAAAGGTGTTGAAAAACACCTATAAATAGCACCCTTTTTCTCCTCTTAAAATCATCCCTTCTTTCATTCTCTTTAGCTCAGTTTAGAATAGCATTTCTTTATATTTTTCTAGCTATGTTTAGCCTCCAAATGAGGAGCTAAACTTCCATTCTTGGTTTTGCTCTTGAAGCTTGTTGATTATTAAAGTTGTGAGTTATTTTCTTTAAAAAAAGAAGAAAAAAAAAATCCTCAGACACAAGCACTAGGGACAGTGCTTTGATTAGCTTGGGGGAGAGTTTTATGGAATACTCATATTCATACCTTTATTCTTGAAAAAAAAATATAAAAGCTTGTTAAGTTGAAAACCCGAAAGGGCAACTTAAGCAAAAAATAAAGCAAAAATAAGAGTGAGTTGTGAGGATTAAAACAGAAAAATGTGGGAAGCTGGGATGAAAATCCAAAAGGGCACCTAGGCAAAATGAGAGAACGAGAGAAAGTATTTTCTTTTATTTTTGCAGGATCCTAAGGGTAACGGAAAAAAAAAGGTTGAGGTTGATAAAGAAATATGGAGTTGAAGACCCTCTTTACTGTTATATTTTTGGGGATATACTTTCTGTGTTTCTAAATACACTCGTGGATGTGTGTGTTGATATTCTTGTCATTTTAAGGACTTCTTGGACCGGATTTGATTTACTCGAGACGAGTAAAGGTTTAAGTGTGGGGGTGTTTGATGCACACTAATTAGTAGTGCATAATTGCATGTTTTTATGTTTGATTTATGTTGATTGTTTGACATTTTATTTAGTTTGAAAACATTTATGTAATTTCAGTTGTAATTGTATTTTATTCTTTATTTATAAGTTGTAAAGTATAGTTAGGATTTGTGGTGTTGGAAAGGAAGACTTTGAAGAGAAGAAAACAA